CAGCGTTTCACGACATAATTAGACACATCGAGCAAGTACTGGCTGTAAAATTGGACACACTTGGCGTTTTCTTCAATATTAAAGAGATCTTTGATAATATATAATATCTTCCGAGGCCATAATGGAGGCTCTTCAGGAAATGGATCTTGAACGGCATGTTTCAGGCTCGTGAAATTCCTTCTTTCGATCGCTGATTCGGCAACAAGACAGCACAAGCTGGTGACGTGGCAGCTTACGCCGAGGATATTGCACCAGTAGCACCCTGAATTCTTAAATGATTGACACCAAAGCGGCACACCCCTATAAGAAACTGGTGCAATCTGTCCACCGAAGTCAAATATCTCGGAATGATTGAGATAGTAAACTCAACTGGAGCGGTAGGCTATAACTGCACTCTACGTATTTATAGCGGCCATTTGTAAGAGATAGGGGCGGAAATCATTTGTTGTATATTACATTCTTACATTGATAGATCCATTTTGTTCAACGAGGTCACTTTCTGGTCAGCAGTCGAAAAAACACTTTCAGAAGCAAACTGGACAGTGATCTGCCGCAATGAAAACTCTTCTCAGTTTTCTTCTACTGGAACTGCACCGCAAATTTCAAGAGAGATGCCACTGGGCGCGGCTCAGTCATAGAGGTATCGTGCACCAGAGCACGCCCGGATACTGTGTTTCCCACAATTTCCAGCAGATCTAGACTATGCCAACTTCACTCTGACCAATCGCCTTTGAGCAAAACATTATTCAGCTCCACAGAAACAAGAGAAGTTGGACATTGAACGATGGAATTCATACCACCATGAAAAGAAATTAATCGGATTCTGATCAAACGGAAGGCTGATACCATAAGGAAAGATTCAAGGTCTGTCTGGAAGTATGAAATTGAATGCAAACCTATGAGCTTATCTGTTATCCATAGCTCAACTGCTCCAAGGGTTTTGATTTCTTCAGACAAGGCAAGCAAGCGAAATTCCTAGCTCCGCCTGTAGTGAAAGTGAACAAGACGAAGGATCGCGCTACAGGAACAACTCAAAAGTGTCATGCTCTGTCAGTAAGCAAAGACCAAAGTCTGTAGGCACCCGTCAAGCCACTCTTGCCTTTGGACACAGAGGCAGTGTGGATAATGCCATCTGCTTTTAAATGGCGTTTATATGTTTTTCTCTACCAATTCCAGACAGATTCAATTTGTCTAAAGAGGTTTCCACATCTAAGCATGTATATGAATGTGCTTACCTAAAATAAATTTTGTTGTTTTCCTTGGATTGAATAAATGTGTGTGCATCATATTATTATGAAACTGGTGAAAAAGAACTTAACTCAATAAGCAAACAAATTCACATAAATTTACATAAAATACATATGTATATACTCGCAGGTAATTTAGATACATATGTACGTTCAAAGAAAAACCACAACTCTGAAGTATCTGACGATGGATACCGCTGCAGTACTATTGAGACGGTGGAAATACGTAAGTAAGCCATAAACCCAGAATTTCAGAAGAATAACTCCAAATTTTACAAAAACTGCACCGACTCCTCTTGTTCTTTATTTAATAGTCGTGTAAATGTGACCGATAATAATTATATATGTAATTATTTTCAATCTTAATGTGGCATTAATCGATATAAATTTTTGTTTTCATCAATAATACATATCAATGGCCTAAACGCAAGATGAACATAAGGTCTACTAATCTACCCATCAGGGTGGATAAATGACATTCTAAGAGGAGATGCGGAAATTGTGCTATGTGTATTATATTTTTTTTTTAAATAGGTTAACTAAATGTAGATATTCTATTTATAAAATAAAATCAAAAATGTTATATAATATAATAAGGCGGAAAAAAAAGAAAATTAATGATTTAAGTAAAATTAAATTAAATTTAATAAGTAGTTAAGAGTAAAATAGATAAAGTTAAAAAAAAAGTAAAAAAAAAAATTAAAATAAAACAATAAAAAATAAATAAAGCAAAAACATTAAATCGAAAGCTTAATTAAAGATTAAAAAACTATGTAATCAAATAAAAAATATAATACCTAAAATAAAAAAAAAATAATATTAAGGAAGTAGAGTGAAATAAAATAACCTAAAATAAAATAAAATAAATTGCATTAAATAAATAAAATAACATTAAAAAAATTACAATAAAACTGTAGTAAATAAAATAAAGAAAAAAAAATACAGAAAAAAAATTAATAAAATAAATTAAATCAAATGAAATAAAAATAAGATAAATAAAAGAAATAAAATATGATCTAATAAAATGTAATTAAGAGTTTAACTATATTCAATAAAATAAAAGAAAATAAAATAAATAAAATCAAATTGAAATAATTAAATAATAATAAAACATATAAAGAAAATTAAATTATACTAAATAAAAATAAAATAAAATAGATTAAAGTATTCATTATATATATAGAGCACATAATATCAAGGTGCAGACTTTATAATAAAAAAAAGAATTTCATGAAATAAATTATTTTAAACGCATTTATTTATTATTGGCGGCCGGGTTGCCAAATGGTTAGCATTGCGTACTGCCGTTCATGAGGCCAGGGCTCAAATCAAAATTAATTAAAATAAAAAATGAACATCCGAGTGTATTTTTCACATGAGATAAAAACTCTTCATCAAAAAACCGTCAGCCGTTTGGAGGTGACTTAGTATAAACTACAGGTTCATTAATTTGTTGGAAAAAAATCAGGACGCAAAAACAAAAATTGGATCTCCTCCGGCCGAAAGTCACCTAAGTTGTTACAAAGCTCCAATTATATATATATATATATTTTTGAGAAATAAAAAAATTAAAATAAAATAATTTAATATAATTAAATTAAATTAAAATACAACAACAAAAAACAAGAATAAAAGAAAATAAAACAAAAGAAGGTTAGATAAAATAATTTAGAAAAGACAAAATAAATTAAAAAATTAAATTAAGTAAATAAATTAAAATAAAGTAGATAAAACATATAATAAAAAATAAAATTTAAAAAATTTAGTAAAAATTTAACAAAATTAAAATAAAATATATCATAATAAATTAAAATAGAAAATAAATTAATTAAAAAATTAGATAATGTGAAAAAGTTTAACTAATATAAAATAAATTCAAATGTAAAATAAAATGAAAAAATAACTAATTTATTGATATTTAAATGAAACAAAAATTGCTGTCTTCGGCCATGTCTTTCGTAAACGCATCAAAATTATTTTAGGATTAACAACTTATTCTCTTGTCTGGACAAAGTGGATATATGAAAACTATTTCATATATGTGAAAACTATTTGATATAGTCGATGGTACCAATATTAAGTTTCTTATATTAGTGTGCCCATATACGTATGTGTATGTTTTTATCAATTTCTTCTTTATTGAAAATCGCATATCTGAAGAAATCTGTTGTATGGAAACTATTTGATATCAAAGACTTCGACAATTCCGAAAAATGATGAATGCGTCCTAAAAAACATCCGAACGAAATATCGATAAGGCAACATCATCAGCGAATTCTCAAACTGGGTTTTCATCGATTATTGATGGACTGGGGCGGGCCGAGCACTAGTCATCATACGCCTTCACGGCCTTCTTGGAAACGCTTACGTCATTCGTCAACTCTTGCTTTACTCATAGCAGACCCACCATAGGGATTTATCAACTTTTCCTGGAGTTTTTATATAGTTTAGAATATTTATATAATTTATACCAAATTTTTTGAGGACCATTTCTAATAATAAGAGAAAATCGCCGGCTAACCTTAGTAGCCAAGTCTACAATTTAAAACAGCTCAAAGATTTATCATACATCAGGAAGTTATTTGTATATCAACATGGAGAACAGAAGTGGTTGACATTCGGATGCTCCAAGTCCGCAAAATCTAAAAATTCCCTTTAGTGCTTAGCACCTCGTATATTGAATTTGTGAAAAAAAATGCAAATAAACATAACGTCTCAATATTCTTCAATAAATTCATAATTTTCAGAGCTATTCATGATTAAACTTCTACTTAGTTTTACTTATCTGTATAATAATATTACGTATACGCCCCGCTGTACCACAGAAATTCCATAAGCACTGGGATGTAAAATAAGTATGAACCACAATTTTAATCAGCTTTAAAAATTTGCAATTAAAGTGTTTCGGACACCACAACAACTAGATGACAAAGTGAACTATGTGTGTTGTTGATGGTCTTGGACGGAATGTTGGATGTCAATGGATGGACGGTTGCATGTGTGTTGACGTGCTGAATCACATGCAAGCTCTCTCTAGAATTTAAGTAAACAAATAATGCTTACATTCGTTATATGTATGTACGTATATATATATATATATATGCATATAAAATGAACAAAATACATTTAATCACATAAAATCTCGGCCTAAATATTATATGTATAAATGCAAATAAAATCCCTTTATAGTATACGTGTATTTCCATACATATCTGTGTGCATATGCTATTAAGCTTCGGTTTATATTCATTGCAGCTACCCAAAATTTATACAAAATCTCGATCTAGGTATTACATTTGTTTATCTATGCTTTCAAACTACTATTTATTTAATATATTTACCATTACTTGTCGCACAACAACAAATATTTGCATACCATTTCCACATGCACTTCACTCTGTTATGTTAATTTGCATTTTATTGTAAACCTTTCGGCGTGTTGTCAGCTATTAATTTTGCATATCATATGCATAACTATTTAATATTCCAATGGCTTTTTTGTAATATTTATGTGGTGCAAAAAAACAAGAGAAAAAAGTCGACTGCTTACATACGTGTATGTTTAATTGTTTGTACAAAAAATGTTTTGGTCTAATCTAAAGTTTTAGTAAAGTATAAACTTTGGCAAAAAAAAAACTTTTTATCCTTTTATGGCAAACACTCTAATATAGTTCTGGATGTGCATATTTTAGAATTCCTTTACGTATTTATATATTTATAAATATTTATTTGTAAAATTTTCGCACTTTATAGGCGGTTCGATGAGGCCGGCGAAAGGATGGAAGGCTGAACATAAAGCTGCACGTACTTTGGGCATTATAATGGGTGTATTCTTGCTCTGTTGGCTGCCATTTTTTCTGTGGTAAGTGAAAATTCAGTAAAAATTGTATTGAAATTAGTACGTTGATTTCCCCTCCGAAAAACATGCAAACTAATAACTTATACGTGAAAAATAATTTTAATTTAGTTAATTAATTAATTTTTGTGAAAATTATAGGAGTAGCAGAGAAAATAATGTATATATGCAAATCTACGACCTGTTGGGTAAAGCTTTTTTTAGAGCAAATCTTTGTTAGGGTTTCTAAGACAATGTGTAAACCTTAGATCCGTTCGTTCGGTTTATTCGTAAACTTGTTGCTAACGAGATGCCAACTTCGTTATACCCCTCTCGTAGAAGAATGCGTCCCTATTGTAAAAAAATTCGGGGAGTCAATTTTCACAGGCCTCTCTTGAGGCCAACTTCTCACCATTATGCGTCTGCCATTGATGGTGCGAATACTTAAATCTCTATAAATAATTTCATTATTCTTTTGTCATAACGCGCTCGTTATCATTCTTAATGCTTTATATTATATTTATTTATTATATTCGTGGCGCAAGCTGAATCACACAACCGGATTCCATACATCCATATTAGTTTTATTACAGCATCACTAAAGAATAATATTTCAAGATAAAATGTTACTGGCAGCAACTGTGTCTTAACCGAAAAATATTATTACCTTCTTACATTCGAAAAAATATCCTGAATACGATTATATCCCACCAAAAATGTTAAAAGAACTACCAAGCCTTACTCGTGTTTTTCTAGTACTAGCAGTACTTCAGTACCATAATAAAGCTAGGATATTATCCACAAATGAGGAAAAAGTTGCAGATAATTATGTTAGCTAAAGTAGATAAATACGCAAGCTGGCGTCTTCATACAGACCAATCAGGCTGTTGCCTTGCCTTCTCTAAGCTCTTCAAAAAAGTGTTACTCTCAAAAATTTCGCCTTTCTTGAAAATGATTTAATTCCTACACATCAATTTGGATTTCGCGAAAAACAATTAAAAAATTAAAAGCATTCAAATTCAGAGAGTTTTTGTCGGCTGTTTTTCTTGATGTCACTCAATGTGCTTAAATCCTGCTTATTCAAAAGACGATTCACTGTAAAAGTAAGCGAATAATAACAGAAGAGTATCCAATCACGGCGGGTATCCCGCATGGTAGTGTTCTTGCACCAAGTATAGTATTCACCTTAGATATCTCTGCAAGTAACGCTCAAACTGAAATCTTCCACTTTATCAATTGACTTTTTAGCACGGCTTAGTCTTAAGAACGTCAAAAAGAAGAGTTTTTTCAGCAGTTTTTTTAAAGATGAGAAAATTATGGCGGTAAAATTTTCAGACAATAATTTGCTGTATTTAAGCTACAAAAAACAGTTATTAGTGTAAAAAATGTTCCAATGTTGCGCTGAGTTTTCTGAAGCGGCTACATTCTGTACACTCGGGTACCGGTGACGGTGATGAAGGTCATGCTATGCAATATAAAATAGTAGAACTCAATTTTTTTCTAATTTTTGTGAGTGTCTCTTTCATATGAACTTAAAAATACCGAAGAAGTTGGAAAACTCCAAATTTAAAAAAAAAGTAACTTAAGGTTGCAGAAAAATAGTTTAAATAACACTTTGACCAACTTTTTTAGTTCAAATAAAAGTTAATTTAATATTGAAGCTAGATTATTTCGATAATTTTTTATCGGACACTTATACCTTATCGTTTTTTATGGCCTGTAAGTATGAAAACTCTAGAAAAAGTGCTTGAAAATTTTCAGTCGAGCATTCGAACCAAGCTCCTAAAATATGTCGAATTGACCACTGAAATTGTAAAGACATTTTCTTGGATAGCTTAAGAATAAAATTAAGAAAGAAATGCATTTTTCGAAGCCTCTAAAGCAGATAACTGCCATAAAAACAAAGTCCTTCTGTATAATTGGGATCTGTCTTAGTATGTTTTATGCATTTTCTCAAACAATTTCGCCAAATGTGCTCTCTTTTTGTCAAAGTCCGTTTAGCTATTTTCAGATTATTTGCATCAAAATATGCTTTTTTTTTAAAGATTTTAATGAGAAAAAAATGGAAAATTATGTTCAGTGGACCCAGGCAAAGTTTGCATTTTTTTGTTTGTGGGAGAATGAAAAGGCATACGAACTATTCCGGTTTTGACCATAAAATTTTTTTTATAATTTCGAATAGTCGAAATTCAAAGTGACGGCTACAAAATGGCGCTCTCTGGCGGTCTCTGCGCAAAAATCAAATCCCAACAACTTCAAGCCCACAGCCTCTTGTAGTAGACTGAAGAGAAAAATCGTTGTCACTACTTGAAGATCGTGAAATTTTCTACGTCCTCAACCTCAGTATAGGAGTGTAGGTTTATTTTATATTCTCGTATATTCCAGACTTTAAATCAAGAGTCCATCGTAACGACAAATTTCCATTAATTAATTAATAATTAAATTATAGAAATCTTATCGTCAAGGCAGTTATCATAATACATTTTAAATAATTTTGTTTCGAAACAGAATGCTGTCGTGAATGTTAAATGTTTAACAAGCTGCCATTTTAAAATTAACGCTAACTAAGTGTTTGTGCGATTTGAACATAAATAATTTTATTTCGTTCCGATAACATGGCACCGAAACGAAACGAAACGAAACGAAATTATTTCGTTAAGTTTATTTCTCATGTTAAAAAAACGAAATGACATCTACTTTAAACATTAATAATATTTAAACTAATATCTCTCTCTCTCTCCCTCTTTTTCTCTCTACTCTCTTTAAAAGGTACGTAACAACTTCTCTCTGCGGTCCTGCCTGCCCTTGCCCGGATGTGGTCGTTGTCGTTCTCTTTTGGATTGGCTATTTCAATTCAACGCTTAATCCACTGATCTACGCCTACTTCAATCGTGATTTCCGCGATGCTTTTCGCAACACGCTTGAATGCGTTATACCTTGTTTACATAAACGTAATCCTTACGATGCTTACTATGTGTAGTAGTGTTAAGGTGTGTAGAATGGAGAGAAACCGAAGGCAACAAAAAAAAAAAACAAAAGGCAAGTATTACGTAAGTTTTGTGTTCCTCTTTCATGATGCTTAATGTACCATGAAGAACCTATCTATGTATGTATGTACAAGCGTACTCTTGCAAAATCGTCGCTTCACTACACTACACTGAATATTGATTGAAAAAATAAAAATTCTTGAAAACAATTTATGTGATATAAATGTATGTTTGTATGTATGGTGTAATAAATAAGTTGAAAATATATAGATAAATAAATTATGCTGAATATAGCGTCTAACTGTTTGTTATTAGTGATTAAAAAAAAATAAAAATAATATATGCATAGGTAAATATATAGTTATATATGTATGTACATAGAATATTAAAAAAATTAAATATTTGCCGACATGTAAGCGCATATGTGCGTAGCATCACCTCATACGAGCTGTTCTTAAATTAATAGTAATAATAAAAAATATATATAATATATAAATATCAATAATAACTATAGTAAATATTGTGCGCCCAGTCGGGAATCTAATAATCGACTACCATTAAAAATAATACACATTAGTTTGTTGTTAACAAAACTACCGAAATACATAACCCAATTTAAAAAAATAATTTTTTTTCTAAATGCGGACATCCCTCGGAAGGAAATATCAACTCCTGTGAGTGCATTTCTGACAATAAAGATCCATTAGTGTAACAGGATTATAGTCAAATGAATATGGCGCGTCATTAGTTTTTTCTCTTTGCTGTTTGACGTCAGTTGGAAAAACCATGTAAAGCCAGATGGAGGACTTCCTCTTCCCTTGCTTCCATCAATTCGAATACTTTCAAAGCTGGAGTGATTTCATTCATTCGGACGAGATAACCTAACCAGCGTAGCCACTGTCTCTTTATTTGCAAAGCTAATTGTGTCCAGCTTTTGCAAAGCTTTTCTATTGAACGCTCTCAATTCCGATTTATCAGATGTTGTCTACGCTTCCACACCATATAGCAGGGGAAGAGAACAATTGGGGCATTGCAGAGTTTACTTCTCAATTACCGAATCAGTTTAAAGAGTACCTGTTGGCAAAAGTCATACAGCGTTGGATTTATAGACAGGCATTTTTGTTAAATCTGGTCCCCAAATAGAAGAAAAATTGTCTAATACCTCGAAGTTATGACTGTCAATAGTGACGTGGGAGCTTAGCCTTAAGTGCGCCGACTGCTTGTTTGCTGGCAGAAGGTATTTTGTCTTGTTTTCGTTCACTAACAGGCCCGCTTCTTTATCAAGTCTGGAGAAATCATTAAACAGCTTTGATATCAATGTCAACGGTATACGACAGCAGTTGCACACCCTTATAAAATGTTGCACCTGACACATTTAGCGCTGCAGCTCTTTTTATTATCTCCAGCATCAAATTGAAGAAACCACACGATAAAGAGTCATTCTAACTAAAACTTCGTTTTGTGCGGGACGACTCCCAATCCTAACTGCACTACTGATAGTGCCCAGCACGGTTTATACAGCGTTATAAATGCCCAGCCTTATAATTTTCAGGGTTACCAATTTCAGATATAGCGTAGTAGAGGTAACTCCATATTGTGTTATCGAAGGCAGCTTCGAAATCGATGAAAAATAAATGTGTACCGATAATTTTCTCACAGATTTGGTGAATATCTGGTCGATGGTTGATTTACCAAATCTAAAGGTCTAAAGCCAAACTGATAAGCGCCAATCAGTAAGTCGCCGTATCTTTTCGTAGAATTTTCGAGCATTATCTGCCATCCAGCTTCTCAAGCTCTTCATACTCACGCATGTCGACCTCTTTCTGTTTGTATCTGCAATTGCATCTTGTGTCTCTCTTCAGCTCCCACTATCTATTCCACCCCGCACGTGTTGTGGTCGGGATTTAGTCTTTTCTGTGTATTGGGTTATCCATATCGCGATTTCTTTATTTTTGCCTTATTCAGTGTTGGTATTGTGTTTTATCGGGATTATCTACTTCCTGAATTTAGAAAGTCGAGATTATGAAGTGATCCCAGTAAAGTGATGGAAAGAGGGATAAAAATTGACAGTAGTAAAAATATTCGATTAATCAGCTCAGTATTAATGGATTTATAAATATTTAATTGAACTCAAGTGGATTTTCACGCCGACGCCATTTGTAAAAGTATTCAGTTCGCAAAAAATATGTAAAGTGTTCACCGTAAATAGATTGCCCGATTCCCGACGGGTTAAGCTTAATTAAGTCTGTGTAAATATGTCTAAGTAGTTATCAAATAGTACTTATACATACAAATTGTTGTTGAAATGTAGAAAGGTCCTTACGTAAGTTTTTTTTCAAAATTGCATCCTTTGCACCCTTAAGCTCTTTTTATATGCCTGTAATTATGGAATTATATTCCGATCTGAAAACTGCGGCCGTTAAAACCGTTTCCACTTTCAAAGTCAAATCTCTTATAAATATTTTTTTCTTTTAAGAAAATTTATTTTTTAATATTTAATAATAATAGGCATTTGAGGCCTTTTTACATTTTATCAACTTTTCAGACACATATGTATACTTAGTAAATTAATAGTATTAGCATAAAAGCAATAATAAACTAATGCAAATAAGTAATTAGTTATGAATCCATCCCTTTGATTTGTTTTTTTTTTTTATTTGCATAGTAATAAAATCACTCGCAATTCATTTGTGGCTGTGACGGGAGCTTACTGTAAATTCAAGCTTTACCGCTTTATAGTACCTCGATCTGAAACAAAAAGTGGGTATGTACCTACTTAGCTTTTAGCTGAGAAGAAAGCACTGAATAAAAAGTTTGGTTAGGTTAAATTAGTCAATTATGGGCTAACTCCGTTCTACATACTTTTATGATGGCTCTTCAATCACGAATTCACGAACACGATCCGCTGGGGTGATTAACGGTACATGAAAATAATATTTGCTCTTTCTTTGCTTTTACCAAAACTCAGCTTGCATCTTCCAAGTGAAAGTGCTAGACATAGAAAAGGCCTATAACTAGAGCTCTAATGAATAACTTTGGAAGAAACCCTAGGCTGTCAACCGGCATTACTATCGCCAGTGGCACCAATGGGAAAGTCCAGCTCGCCGGCAGATCAACTGCATGACTTGTCCAAATCGGCAGCATTACTTCACAAGTCCAAAACAGAGTTAATGACATGACCGGCTGGAACAAGCTTCAGTAAAAAAACAAATAACAAAAATCAGATGGAAAAAAAAGCCCAAGTAATGCTAGTTAAGAGCTAAGGAAATATAAAGGAGGTATTTATAGATTTACAGCAACAATTACGCAAGATTCGTTCTTTTTGGGGAGCATTTATTCGTGCAGTTTTCTAAGATAGGGCTATACTGGTATTATTTCGCGTCGTGTTCATCTGCGGCTGTATTCATTTCAAAGGTACTGTCATTTCGCGTCGTTTTGAGTAGATGTCATTTGTTTTAGCGTGAACCACAATTTGTTTCATTCATTTGAAAATGTCGAAATTTGTACCAGATAAAGTGTTTTTGCGGGGAGTTCTTCTTCTTTGCTTTAACAAGAAGAAAAGTGCTACCGAAAGCCATCGTATTTTAGTGGACGCTTATGGTGACCATGCTTTAGCCGAACGAACGGGTCAAAAGTGGTTTGCACGGTTCAAAAGTAGCAATTTCGACATAGACGACGGAAAACGGCCCGGAAATTTGTAGTAGCAAGGAAACGACTGCATATGGTAAAGAATCCATTTTATTTTATCAAGACGACAAGAGAACGCATCGTGTCATAAGTCAATAAAAATAATGCAAAATTGAATTAGTTGCACTTCAAGTGACTACCAAATCTACCCGGTTCATTAGATTTGCCATCCAGCGACTACTGGCTATTCGCTCAAAGCAAAACCGGAAAGAAATTTCAGTTGAAGGAAGAGCTTGTGCCGAAATTGAAGCAAAAAGCAGCAATTTCTACAAAAATTGTAGAGCGAGACTTAATGAGGATTACGATAATGAACGAAAAATACCGTGTTTTCTTTTGAAGTCTATATATAATATATAGTGGGGTCATATTTTAAAGCCTAGAGCGATATATTGAGTACTCCATACTAGCGGCTTCTTAGTGGGCTGATGCCCTGCAGCCAGTTCAATCTAACCTAACTTTGACCCTTCTCAGACCAAGGGTTATCTATCTATATATATATAATACTTATCATTGAATGACTGAAGGATCCCCCCAAAGCCTAAACCAGAGAGAAAATTATTAGAATTTATTTTTAAATCGATGTATTTATATGAAATTTGGCTTATAAGTAACTCTTTGTCTAAATTGACATCCTTCCAACGGAATGGAGGTCTTCCACCTCTTTACCCCTCACCAGCGGCTGCTGCATAGCAGGAGTGATTTCATCAATGCGATCGATATGATTTTTAATAAGCTTTTAACAAAAGTCATCAAACCCTTACGAAATTACTTTAAAATGGTAAAAAAATATTATATTTTTGAAAGTTTATTTCCCTCGAAAAGGGCCGCTACTTTTTATTGATAATTTAACACTGTTATATGTATCTTTTAAGATCATTTATTATTAATTTTATGCCCCGGACAGAAAATAGACACGGCAATAGCTTAGACTTAATTTCAACTATGTACTTTTATTAATTCCAACAATTTTGGAAGGTTTTAGTTTTTGATTAATTAAGTATAAAATGAATAATTATAGCAATTGAGAATTCTAAATTGTAAAAGATTTCATAATAAATATAAAATACATTTAAATATTTAAATTAATATAAAAAGTGCAAAGTCGATATATCAGATTCTATCGTTGAGGTTGTTCTTGCTCTACAGTTTATTGTACCTTTTATAAATCGCTACCGCCATGGTAGAAGGGTTGCCTTTTATATTTCGAGATTAGAGATCAAAAACAATTATGGACCCTCAATAATCGCCTTTATGTTTTTCAAAAAGTTATTCATTAAGATCTATACAGTTTTTCATGCGTTTGAAACAATTTTCGAATCACTTTTGACACTCTGATCTAGGTATACCCAAACGATGCATTCTGAACGGCTCTTCAGGTGTCGAAAAGCCTTGACCTCTGAGTTTAGTTTTTACATACGGAAATAAAAAGATTCTATTCGATGCCAGTTTAGGACCTGTATAACTCACCAAATCGATTTTTTTACTGCTCAAAAATGCAGTTGTTTCAGTCGATGTGTGAGAACACGAATTGTCGTGGTGAAGAGTGATTCGTCTTCGAGCGTTGAATAGTTTATTAGTTTATTGAAAGACAATTAGCAAACAAGTGGTTGTTTACTACATAGAATTTACTGCTCTGCATTGTTTACGATATGTTTTCTTTTCCCAATTTCCCAAAAAAAAAAAAAAATTGTTGGGAAGTGAAGACTCGGCTTATCCTTAACACCCATACAGCCGACTGCTGCTTACTTTACATGCGTAAATCTACGATTCCAAGAACCATTTTTTGACCGACTAAGAAATTATGTGGGATCCATCGTGAATAAATTATTTTTACAGTCGATTTTTAGTGCAATATTGAATGGATAATACCTATATTTTTTTTCCTTTGGGGGTGAGGAGAAGAAAAATGCCTTCCGCATCGTCACATCAATGGTATGTGCCATTTGCAGGTCACTAAAAAACTCTCCTATAGGGAACCGTCGCCCACCCTGGAACTGCTTTTGCATGATGCGTATAGAAGTTGTCTCAATCTAGCGATGGGTTCGTTTGATGATCTTGTATTACGAGTTCGCGTACAGTATCAATAGTTTTCGGAACAGCAACTGATTTCTTGAAACCAATTCATTGATAAACACTGGTCCCTGATGGAGCATCAGTCCACGTCGAAAGTTGTAAAAAATAACCGCGCGATTTAATTATATTACATAACCTTAAATTTCCGTCAATATGTGTAATGACAGTAAATATTTTTAAACACTTTAATTCATTGAAAAAAGCAGCGGTTAAATCTATAAATATTTATTATTTCATTTCAAATAAAGCTGAGCTCCATTTATATTTCTCTTTAGAAAACAAAATAAAGAACTTATAATTCAAAAAAAAAAAAAATGTGCTGCACATACATTTATTTATGCTGTGTATATGCTGAAAACGCAAATATTTTATAATTTGTACGGAGGTAATCCGATAACCTGGATAGGCGGAACAACTTAAAATGAATAGAAAAAAACGAGCCGGGAAGGGGCAAGGAGGTAGTCGCACTGAAGCTATTGTTAAATACGGGTATTTTTTCATTCCCTCCCGACACTTACACATTTAATTGTACATATGTAATCCTAAAAAAAAAACAAATATCAAAAAATTTCCGATTGTTAGATAAAAATAAATTGCGTGTAGAAAAAAATATAACAAATTTGCTAACAAATAAGAAAATGTATAAAAAATAATAAAAACAAAATGAATACAAGAAATAAATAAATAAAAAATAATTTTAAAATAATAAAAAAAGAGTTATTGCAATCAAATAATAAAAAAAGAGTTATTGCAATGGAATGTAGAGCACACGTACATATGAATGTATGAGATTGTGTAAATATTTAGATAAATGTGTTAGATATATTTAATGCTGTTTACATGTGTTTAGTTAAATTAATCAATAAATATAGAAATAGTGCAAACAATTGGGGTTTTTTTTTAATTGTTAAGTAAATAAAATATTCTAATTGGAAAAAAATGCTGAAGTAACAAAACTAATATTTGAACATTGAACAAGGAGAACTTCCAAGCAGAGTTATAATAGTCATAGTAAAAAGTAATCCATTATTTTTGCAATACGTGGCTTAAGTAAACTGTATCTAGCGTTCTATAAGTACGAGTGGATTACGCTGGATGGCGTTAGACAGATGGTATTTTCTACTGATAAAGTTAATAGGAGCAGTGTTGATCGCCTAACAGTGGTAACACTATATTTTAAAAATTTTCTTCGATAAAGGCAAAAGCACTTGTCAGACAGCTGAAAATGGGTTTATAGCCCTCTTGACTGTTGCAGTAAATCATGCTCAATTTTGTTTTCGTCCGTTTCATTACGGTAATTTTGAACTAAAAGTTGCTACATGCGACTGTCCTGCATTAAGCAGTGTGAGGTTTAATAACTGCTGAATGGTCTATCGAAGTTAGGTGACGTCAAAGTCATGGATCTAATGAAATGCACTAGAAAATCAAAATGGAGGGAATGTGAAGCCTGATGGTTTATGTTTTTGTGGTATCACAATGGGTCTAAGTCAGGCCTAAGTAAATCCAGTCTGTTAGTTCCGTAACCACCGCCACCTAACCTAACCTGCTACATGGTGTGGAAGGCGAATTATTGAAACCGTCTTGCAAGCACTATTTTTATTGCTCGGGAGCAAAACATGCACAATAAAATAGTTTGAAACCACTCTTAAAAGACTGGGTACACAAAGAAGCTCGATGTATGGGTTAACGAGAAAGAACTCTTCAACCGAACTTCCGTCAGTGAATTGTAAAAAAAACGATCCATTTCTGAGGGGATTGGTGACTGAATACAGTCGAGTTCAAAGGGTGGTGAGCCGGAAAAAATGGTATCCAAGCCAGGTGAGTCGCAAGCAGCTCAGATAGATTGGTTGGGAGGCTCGTATGCAACCACCTTAAAGTGCGTACCCCACACTAAGTGATTGCCAACTGTTGATATTAACGGCAAATGGTTCGACCGACTGGTGATAAATTAGCCTCAAGAGAAGCATGTGAAAGTCGATTGTCTCGCGCGAAACGATGCTTATTACACATAAATGGAATAATTCTTAATATGGTAAACATAGCCTTCAATCCAATGCAAGAATAATCGCTTACCTTTTACTATACCAATATTTATTTTGTTGCAAATTAAGAAAATGTTATAAAAAACATTAGTTAATGCTACAGATACATATACTTTTAACTAAAAAAAAAATTTGCAGACAGACAATCCTTATGAACAGCAAATTAAAAGAGAATCATTAAGGAGTCAGAAAAAATATAACAAAAATAGTTTTTAATGTGCTTAAATATGTGTGTATGGAATAGTGAAAAATGGCAACAATGTGGAGAATTACAAATGCATAAATTTAGGAAAACTCATCTGAACCCAAGTAAAGAAATTATTCAATAAGTTTTACTTTGGGAATTCCACATAAAAAAAAAATTTTAAACAATTTGCTAAATTTTCGAAATAATTTGGTATTCTTTTAACAAAAAAAAAGTCGAATGTCTTATTTTTACCCTACAAATTACACACATAAGTAAGTATATAAGTATTTAGAGGCAAATGTATAAAACTGAGTTAATCCAATTTGTTGCTACCAAATTTTCAAGTACTCTACATACTTTACTGTATTTTTGTGATATTTTATAAATTTATTTATGAAAGTATTAAAATGTCAGTTCATAGGCATAAGTAAGGTATGTTTGTAGGAGAATCATGCCGACAGAGGTCAAGAGACTATGTATTTGCGAAATTATTTTATAATATTATGGAAATTATTAACTAAGTAAACAGAAAACTATTTTTAAAAGTCATTTATCGTGCAAAACATGTTGAATTGTGCAAAGAAATGAAAAAATGCTGAATCTTGTTAAAAAAAAAATATATGTTCTTTTTGCAAAAACAAATTTCAAAAATATAAATAAAGAATGATTTTGAAAGAAAATATCAGCGTGTTATATTAACTGAATTTGATTGTATTGAAATAAATATTTGTATATTTTTGAACGATTGGAAAGCATGAAGACAGAGGCTGCAACAATTCATCGTAGGGTTCGACCAAATTCATCGAAACCCAAGTAAAAGGTTCTCATGTAGAAAGCTCTTCGACAGTTTGAGTTGGATTAGATGCTTATTCTTCTTTAATCAATAATGTAATTTCCATTTTGTTAGATGACCTTTCGCCACATTTGCGGTAACATTATTATTCCACACTTATAGAACTTCGGACCTTTATCTCCAAAAAGCAGAAACGAGTGCGATTTTATAGTCTCGTCATTTCTAAAAGATTTACCATTTAATGAGTTCAGCAAAGATCGAAAAAAATGGTAGTTTGACGGTGCAAGCTCAGGTCTATATGATGGAGGCATCAACAGCTCCCAGCCAAGCTCTCTCAGTTCTTGGCGAGTGACCAAAGATGTGTGCGGTCTAGCATTCCGTTTCTCGTTGATGGATGTAATCAATTTGTAACCAATATTTCTTGAGTGAACTTTGTAATCTGCTTCATTATAATTTCTGTAGTAGCAGATTCAAGCACATACTAATCACGGAGGTAGCCGACTGGTTAGCATTGCGTACTGCCACATCACTAAAGCCACATCCACCGCCCACATCCTTCCACCTCATGTCCCTTATCAAATAATTTATTTCTAGCTCACACAGAAGAGGAGGCAGTAACCTAGTGAGATTCCTATAAAGGTAAACGCTTATATGCGCTCGCAAGTTCGTGAGCTCGCACCACACCAACTGTAATTTGACCAAGTTGTGCAATCAAACGAAGTTTGAAAGCACAAGAGATAAAGTCAAACTCTATAAAAGCTTTTAAACTGTTCTCTTCAATTGAAAAAAATCTCTGTGCCAAACATTTTATTAATTTCTAAAAATATCCTCGTATTTACATAAAATCGTAATAAACTAAATACTTTACCATTGCATATAAAATCACTTTAATTTAACTTATTTGGCAGTATTTACTTATTATTCCTCGAGCACAGCCGAAAGCTATATTACTCTTACTGGTTCAAAGAAATGTCGCCCTCCGCACAATGCCATCCGAAGTGCCAATATATACATGGTTATTAGTGCCACAAACAAGAGCATTCACACAACTGCCAACTTCCACTTCACCGAGTGCTTTCGGTGATGACTGATCGAAATTCGTCCAACCTTTAACTTTGTTGTCATAGCCGCCACTATAAAGGCATTTCTCATCACCGCAAATCGCTTGAATGATCAACTCGTGGCAATCCTGGAATGTGAATAATTTATTAATATTATATGATTGTTCAGTTCTTGGAGACATGAAGGGAACAAGGAGAAAAGTACAAAGAAAGAAATGGTGTTATGAACAAGTCAATGGTTCACTGAGAGATTTCTGTTGCCATTCAAAAAAAAAAATAATTGTCAATAGCATTCATCTCCTCTTCGGTTGAAAATGCTTTCCCACCCATTTTCAGTTTCAAGAAGGTAAAGAGATAATAATCTGACGGTGCTAGATCAGCGAAATGCCCGGAATGTTTCAGGACATCTCATTTAAACGAGATCTTCTGCGCCTCTGTTCATCATGTATAGGTGTACGACGCTTTTGAAACTAGCGAACACTCTTACGATTCATAGCTCTATTATCCATGCAGTTTTCACCTTATTATAAATCTCAAACGGAGTGCTTCCATTCCAAACGAGCTAAAGAATGACGCAGCGTATTTCGTACTTGGCGGAAGATGAACCATTCTCATTGCAAGGAGGAAAAGTCTGGCTACATGACAAAAATAAAATCCCTCCTATCGCACAGTACACTAACTTTCTAGAAGTATCTCGTATGTACCGTTACTCACAGTAGTTTTGCTGACGTCACACCAAAGGAACAAGAGCATAGCGTTTATTTATATTACATATAAAAAAAACTCTTTTCACAATAATTCTTGAACACAGCACTTTTAATATATCACTTCCACTCACCGGTAAATTCCACACATTTTCGAATTTCTGTTGCGGCAAATTTTTCACAAATGACAGCCCCTTGCCCGTGCGATCGGCAAACGCAAGGAATGTACGCTTATCATCGATTACAGGACCAACCAATGCCAACGGAGATTTACCCGGCAGCACAGCTTTATTACTATATTTGCCCGATTTACCAGCTATCATATCCGAAACGACAACATCCAGATCTCTTACAGTGTATATCAAAGATTTCTCTGCCGCCAATGATTTAACCTCTTCAACAAGATTATATTTAAATTTGATTTTATCATCAACCCAATTTGTAACCACGCCCTTTTCATCGCCCGTATATAGCGTCTCGCCGTCACAGTACATCGCCTGTATGGCATCCTCACAACAGAAAAGTTGCTCCGTTTGTTGGTATGGCGGGGACATAAATTTCACACATCCATCACAGCTACTGGAGTAAAGATTACCGTTACGTTCATTTATTGCCATGGCATAAATGTAAGCTTCATGTGCGTCCACGTTCTTAATTAGATTCAAATCATTATCCCAAATCTATAAAGGCGAAAATTAATTGGTAATAAAACATGAATAGATTTGTGGAAATAAACACGTACATACATATGTAAATGTAAATATGCGTAGCTAAGTGTGTGCATAGAGCTGTGACTAAACTTGTTTGTTAATAAATATGCTGGGAATTATTCGTTGCGTCCGGCAACAATAAACACCGAAATGAAATGCATATGTATATATTGGATGAGTGCATAAGTTCGTGCCCGATTTCAAGTGCAAACTAAAAATGAAATTTTTTGAAGAAAGCGCTTTTATTAATCAATTATGTATTCGCCATCATGTTCGGCAATCCACTCCCAACGTTCAACCAATTTACGGATGCCTGATTCATAGAAATCGCGCGGTTTCTCGTTGGAAAAGGTGTCAAGGTGGTTTTTGACGTCTTCCACATTTTTAAATTTTTTTCCATTCAAATTGTTCTGCAGCGATCGAAACAAATGATAATCAGAAGGTGCAATGTCGGGTGAATATGGGGGATGCGGCATGATTTCCCAATTCATCTCCTTCAGTTTGGCCAGGGTCGGTTTTGCAACATGTGGCCTGGCGTTGTCATGATGGAAAAGAACTCCTTTGCGATTGGCCAAAATCGGACGTTTTTCATCAATTGCTTTCTTCAATTCGACCAATTGCTGACAATACTTGTTGGCAGTGATCGTTTCTCCAGCTGGCAAGAGCTCAAAATAGATCACGCCTCGGATATCCCACCAAATGCACAGCAGTACCTTCATCGGATGCAATCCACCTTTCGACATCGGTTCCGCCCCTTCGTGTGCCTGTTTCCATGTTCTTTTGCGTTGAACATTGTTGTACAGGATCCATTTTTCATCACCAGTCACGAGCCGATCCAAAAAAGGTTCGTTTTTGATCCGTCGAAGCAAAGAAATTGCTGTTGACATACGGTCCACTTTGTTTTTTTCACTCAACTGATGTGGCACCCATGTATCGAGCTTCAAAGTGTACCCAACCTTTTTTAAACGACGAAACGCAGTTGATTTGTTGACGTTCAATTCACTGGCAACCTCTTCCGTCGAAATACGTGAGTTATTCGCAACTAAAGTCCTTAGAACATCGTCATCAAGCTCAGAAGGCCGTCCACTGCGAGGTTGATCTTCGAGGTTAAAATCTCCAGAACGAAATTTCGCGAACCATTTCTTTACTGTGCGGAGTGCTGGAGCACGGTCCAAATAAACTTCGCGAATATCTTTAGTTGCAGCGCCTACTGTTTTTCCTTTACGGAATTCGTATAACATAATTTGACGCATATGATCTTTTTCGTTGTCCATCTTCCATGCGTCTTTTCACTAAGCAACTCAAATCAAAATGAAGTAATTTTATGCTTAATATACAGTTCGGACTGTCACCTTTCCAACGATATATAATATGTATATATTTCTTTCACGAGCACTACTCTCAAACGATTCGAACGGCATCCAGCGGAATCGGGCACGAACTTATGCACTCATCCAATATATATATATATTTGGCTGACAGTTTATTAGTAACGAATATTTGCTTTGATTTTTATGATATTTTTATGTTAACTACGTTTAACAGTTAGTTTAATGTTGGTAATGATCTAAGATACTAACTTTTATTTTGCCATCGGCGCCACCAGAAAAAACTTGATTGTTGTAATAGGCCAAGCAGGTGATGTCCCCCTCATGTTTTTCCGTTGATTCCTTTTCTATCTTGGCCATTTGTTGAGCAGTTCAATTGCAGATATTATATTATTTAAAATATATATATATTGTAATTTATAAATTTATATATATATTTATTATAGAGATTCACTTCACTCGTTACTCTTTATATTGCTTTGGAAACACAAATTCTCGACGCTCTTTCCCTTTATTTATAGCTGTTAGGCGACAGGTTAATATGAAAAATTATTATTTACATATACAAATGTATGTAGTATGCAGATAATTAAAAAAAACTTCCGGAAAATTCGCGTGCCATTTAAATGAAAACTCAAAATCCAACTGTTGCGTTTACTTTACAAACCATTTGAAAACGCACAGCGCTGAGAAGAGCGATTTCTAATTTTAGATCATTTCAGAAATACTTCTGTTACCTTGTCTGTAAAATGTACATAACTCAAAAATTTTAAAGCTGAAGTATTCTTATCCATTCAGATCAAATGACCTAGCCAGGCGCTGTATCTTGATTTGCTGATGCCAATTCCACCGTATATCACGTACAGCTAGGTCATTGTTTATCGGCTGCGGTATTGCTGTTACCAACTCGTAAAGGGTCATAAATCGTTCATAAAACTTTTCTCTTGAAGACTCCCAAATCCAACTCTTCAGATATCGACATCGCCTAGGCATATATAGGAGGACGGACTTGTAGAGTTTGTGTTTTATTCGTCAATTTCCTACTCAGTTCAATGTAGTACTCCATTGGATTTTCCTGGCTGACATTATTGTTAGAGTTAATACTGGACCCAAGATAGATAAAATTATCTGCGACTTCAAAGTTATGACTGTCAACAGTGACGTGAGAGACGAGTCTTGAATGCGAGTTTGATGACAATAGATATTTCGCCTTACGCACGATCACCACTAAAACCAAATGTTTTGCTTCCTTATCTAGTCTGGAGGTAGTATAACTCGGCTTACACCAGCAGCTATATACTCTTATAGAAGATTCTCTATTCCGCCCTGCAGCTCAGCAATAAGTTAGAAGAGTCACACGATAAAGAGTCACCTTGTCTAAAACCTCGTTGGATGTTGAGCGGCTCGAAAAGGTTCTTTCCGATCCTGGTTTTCTGTGCTACTCAACGACTGTATACATAGCCGTAGAAGATTTGAGAGTATACTCAATTCATGATACATGCACCAGCTCATTATCGGTACTTTTAAATCGCTCAACCGGTAATCCCCAGCCACTTTTTTTGTTTTTTAAGCGGGCTGCCACTATTCAAATTTTGTCATAGTCAGAGAGTGAAACGTCTGTTTCATTATAGTCGGCTGGGGTTCCGGTTTCGCCATCTCCGGGTATTGCATTTTCCCTACCATTCTGCAGACTCGAGAATCGTTTCCTCCATAAATTCTGTATACACTGAGAATCAGACCTTAGATTACCCCTCTGTGTCATACAAGAATCTGCTCCTATCTGGAAACCTTTTTTAATCGTCGTATCTTTTGCTTCATTTGCATGAAGAAAAATACCTAATAATGAACTTGAGAAACCCGTCGACTCGACTCGTACAACTTCTGGGACATCATCGGCCTCAACAACCGCGCGGTTTTTCTTGTTTGCTTCCTCCAGACTGGATTAGAAAACGAGGTGATTGTATCCGACAATGAACGAGAGCAAGACAAAATATCTCGACACCCAAGCCACTACGGGCATAATTTTGTCATAGCACCAACAGGAATGTCGTCTTGAAATCCAACTCAGAATCAGTCTTATCAATTAGGTGCTACTGTGGACTGAGAAGGCAATTGTTGAAGAAAAATCAAACTCTAAAAGTCGTTTCACTCCGTTGGAAAGATAAGGTGGAGATGGGTCTGGCTTCACTTGGTCTGGCCTGGCATACAGGCGAACTGTATACTCTGGCATAATCACGTAAACGGTATTTATGCTAATCAAGAAGAAGGAAAGGACCACGCTCGCATACAAATCTATTTATATATAGTGGCAGCACTAATGCCGAATACTCCAGAACGCTATATATCGCGCTCAGGACCGCAATAAGAAGCCTCTAAATTTACCCCATTAATCGCTTAAATATATAACCAAATGTTCTACAAGCAGTATCTGCGGGTATTCTAACGCAGAAATTACCCCTAAAGACAGTGTTGACTCATTCCAGTTGAATAGCTTGAGCTATTTTGTTGGACGTTCTGACCTTAATGAAATCTGCTGATTTTGCCTGCATCATCAACTATATCAGTAAACCAATAGTGCAAAAATAACGTTTAAAAATATGAAAATCTCGTAATCATTACCCAATTATGGAATAAAATACTTTACCTTTATTATACACTATTCTTAGGTGAAGTTTCTCTCAAGACGTCACAAAAGCCTTCCGCAAAATATCTCAAAATTATTTTCTCACAGGTGGCAACATTGATACGGCCTACAGTTTGACAGGCAGCGACGTCAACGCAAACTGGTCGCTGCCAACGTATGTCATTTATTGAATGAATGTGTGTAAAAATGCAAAACGTAGTGAAAGAAAATTGTTTTATTGTTTTTTTGGGCAAAGAAACGTTTTTAAATATTTTTGAAAATGTTTTTCAACCTAGAAACTAACACAAAAACTGGTAAAGAACTAAATTGTTTAGTTTTGTTTGAAATACGAAAAAGTAAATAGAAAACAAAACAAGTCTTCATAATAAGCCACTAGCCAGTGAAAGGTGCACCCAAGCTTTCGGCGAGAGTGCAGTGTTTATAAGTATTAGTACAAATTTCAATGTAGTAATAATCCTAAACAACTAATATATAAAAAAAAGTTAATGTATAATTGTGAAAAATAGTTAATAGTGGCAGAATCAATCTGAACTGAGATGAAGTTAAAGGACAACATGGTAGATGTGTACGGGAACGCTACAGCGTTTTACTACGCTGTGCTGCTAACGATTAATATAACTTTGACTGCGGTGATGCTAATGGTGGCGTGTCTCTGGTGCAAACGTCAAGCAACAAAGTAAGTTAAACTTTTTGTGCTATTTATGAATGAGTAATAACAAAATAGTAAACATGGATGCACACCAAAGCTGACCTTTCAAAGCGTTGATGCTGCCAACTTGTCTGGCTTGAGAAAGAGTGTATGTCCACATAAATATATAGATATATAAATATGTATATATACACTCACATATACCAAAGTAGTAATGCAAATTGGTAGTAAGTGGGTGGATTTTGATATATTTATATGAGAAAATCGCACTGACAACAAAATGCATTTCGATAGCAGTACGTATGTAATATCCCGTCATATTGTCTACGTCAACAAATCGGCCGCGTGAATATAAACATAATTTGTGCAATCACTGCGATATGGAATGTAATCATGCATTATACCTTGCCTGCATTATTATAGTTAGTAATTGTTGGCTAATTGCCAAGATGTTTCCTTTCAATAGTAAAAAAAACTATTCTATTGTATTTTAGTTGACTTGTTAATTTGAATTTTTTTCGAATTTTCAGAGATGATCTTGGTGGATTAGAGGGCATGGTTAAAATGACAAACCCTGATGATATAGTGGTAGTAAAAGTGGCACCGACTAGTGAGTCACATACGGATTTGACAGTTTCTGGGATTTCCAATACAGATTCAGAAAAAAGGTAAACCAAAAATTACGCTAATATTTTATACTAATATGTAAATAATCTACTTTTCAAATAGGGCAAGTACTGCAGCTCATCGAAGCTTGCCCGATATACCCGTTGTGGATGGAAATGGTGATAACGGTTCTGAACTCTATGAAACGGTGGCAGATAAACGTCTTCTAGAAGAAGGGAATGACAGAAATAATAGTCGTAAGTTACAAGTTCTTAAGGGATTTCTGTTAACATAATATAATATTGTAGACACCCTTTTATACGTTTTGTAGAAATATGTTTTTCTGACTTGGTAAACAAATCAATGACACTTATTTATTTAATTATAGCGACACCGAGTCTTAAGAAGCAAACGAGTGTATCTCAGCATAGCTCCATTAGCCAAGCTGATGACGTTAGTTCTCCTTATTCAAGAGTACGAAATCCTCCGCATGACTACGCCAAAGTAAGTAATAAAAATAACAGCTTATTCAATAATTATTTCGAATACTTCTAATCCATATTGCGCGTATTTAAACTTTTTTCTTGAAGGTTCGTAACACTGAACATCCTTACGCGCAAGTGAATCCCCCTTCAAGTTCCGCAGCTGCCGCCGCAGCGGCAGTGGTAGCCGCTGGCAATAGCAATAATGCTATCTACAGCAGTCAGCCGCCTCAAGTTAACGGCAGAATTTCGCGAAACTCAAATCACAGTAATGCATCGCAAAATCTTAACGATTCAGCACCACAAGTTGAAATTCCAGCAGCATCAGCCATTGCTGGTATGATCTCTGCGAGTCAAGATCTTCCCTACATGACACCGCCTATTACAAATCAACATTTTAGCGGCGATTCCCAAGATTCTTCAAGTAAAATTCAAATATATTATTTTAAATATTTTGTGATGTATGAATATTTTGACATTCCCTCCAGAAGGTTACACCAGTATCAGTGTACGTGAGCCATTAGCCAATATACTCGCACAGCAACCGCTCAAACAAACACAACGGCTTGCAAAGCTAGTACGCGATGCGAGTGATTCACATTATGCCACCGTTTCCGATGATTCTGGTTAGTTTAAATGATTTTCATATAAGTAACACAAATATAGCATACTTTTTATTATAATATTATTTACAGATGAAACGTATGCAGCAATCGAAGATCCGAACATGCGCAATAATCCAAATATGCTGACGGACATCTATACCAGCGGTTCAGAGACTTATGCACAAATCCAGCCTATGCAAATGAATTCAATGGTTGTCTCTGTAGAAATTAATAATGTTAGTAATAATAGTAGTACTCATCCCAACGCTAACGCAAATCATGAAAACAATGCACAAGCGGTAGAACACAATATATTGTCTGCCTCGCATCATCATAGTGGACACAATCAAATGAGACCTATTTCCGATCATGCCACACCTATACCACCACCTGTTGACAGCCTTCGTACTGCTCAAAAACACTCGAGACAAGCTTCTTCATCGTCAAATAATAGTTCGTCGATTTGCAATTTAGGTTCGCCTAAACCAGAAAAACGACAAGCGAACTCACCACTGCCACCCACTCCTAAATCGAATATCACATCGGGACGCAGTTCGGTTATATCTGTGATTGAATGTGGTGGCGGCGGTGGTGGTGGTATTGTGGGAGAACTGAATTTATGTGGTGTTTTAACGGCAGATACGAACACAACTACAACTACTACTAATGCTACAAGCACAAGCGCCGTTGACGGTTCACCTCAGAAGAATAAAAGCAAAAGTCTGAGTCCGTCCAAGGATATCGAAGGCATGTATGCTAAGGTAATTTCGAGAAATAAATATAGTATATAATTACTTATTTGCGCTTTCCAAAAATTCAATTTAACTAATGTATATAATTTATAATATGCAGGTGATGAAGAAAAATAAATTATCGCACCACTCACCTTCCTCACAAAACAATTCACCTGTAATGACTCGTAAATACGCCGACCATACCGCCGTCTCCGGAGCTAGCCCTCTGGATATTGCTGCAGCTGAATTAATGGAAATGCATCGCGGCAATGCATTTACAATGCAAAATAACTCGTCCGATAATTGTCGCATACGCAGCAATAGTTATGGTGCTAAGGATCATGGTTATGAAACAATACCAGCCGATGGTATGCATCGAGCAACAGCACTGGAAAATCGTAAATCCGATTGCTACACCAGCTTAATGCAGAAAGAACGACCCAAAGAGATCTGTGAGTAGCCTGCATCTTGTCATACATATGTACTTCATTTTCTATGTCCTTTTCTATTTAATAACAGTATCCTCCAGTATATATGGTATATTCTATGTATTATTTATTTAAAAATATTTCCTTCTCTTTCCTCCTACTCCTTCCAAATCGCTATAAAACAAAATATCTGTGTAAAAAAATTTTGAAAATTTTGAAAAAACAAACGTTTTTAGTTGTGCGTAAATGAGATCTTTCTGCAGTTTTGCTTTTAAGTCAACGAAAAATTCAACAATTTTTATTTGGAAGCAGCGGTTAGTATATATGTAAAGGCTTTTTACTAATCCCAAATCTTTCATTGACACGAAATTTGCATGTTCTAATAATTACTTTTTTTTGCTTACTTATAATTATACTCATGTGTTTTCCATATTCCTACATGAATACATATATAAATGTATAGATATAAATGGTTGGGTGCCTTCAATAACGAAAAATAGTAAATAACAAATAGTGATAGCATAAGGGAAATTTATATGTAGACCAAAAGTATGTATGTTTGTTTTAATAAAAAATGGTTTTATGTAACAGCTATATCTACATCATACATATTGTATATAAATAAAATATAATTACAAAATAATTTAACCAGCAAACGGCTTGAGTAAAAATTAAGCTATCTCGATGAGAGAACAGCGGCATCGCCCACTTATAACCGTCGATTCACCGGAAGGCAGAATGCATTGAATAAACCATCATTACGGGACAAGGATTTTAGTTGGTAAACAATGCCGGTCATCAGAGACGACTAAAGCTCAATAAATTCCGCTACAGTCGGAACTGCCCTGATTTTTTTTCGTCAAACCGCTGCTACTCCCATTATATTCCTCTAAACACTTACGGTTTCAACAACAACACGCAATAGGCAGACAGCAAGAATAACTGCAGAGGTCATGGCTACATCAAATCACTCGGTCATTTCGCCATGAATTGAAACTTTACAAACTTTTTACTTTTTCTGCGATATTTGTATAACATCATTTAAACGTTTTTCATATGCACGCTTTGTACAGTAATAACTTGTTATCTAATAATAGAATAATTTTTATATCTTAACCTCTCACACTCCACCCCATAACCATGAAATATTTACTGAAAAAGAAATTAATCTCTAATAATATTGTATTATTTTAGTACAAATAACTAATCCACCTGCAGCTGAAATAAAACCACCGTTAGATACCGATGTTAACAGCGATAAACACTATGAGACTATAGCCGTGCCGCTTGACATAACCAACAACAGCGATCCCGGCTATGAAACGCTCCGCAAGCAAACAAAACTAATCACTCAATCCGATCCAGATAATGAGAAGAAATCATCTGACTACGATCCCAATTATGAAGTACTTGAAGGTCCGAAATCTGCTGGTCTCTCCGATGATGGCTATGCTAAGATCAATGAGAAGAAACGTTTGGACATCGATGAAGATTCTACGGATGGCTATAGTAAAGTAAAAGGCGAAGATGGTGCCACTGGTGGTTATAGCACAATTGCCACGGATGCCAATCATAATTATGCGAGCATTGCCGAAACAAAGCAAGAAATGAGTGGTGTATCACCAGACACCGAAGAATCTGATCATTATGCGCGCATTGCCGAAGCACCGCGAATACCACAATCAGCATCAGAATTGCCACTCGGTGCACTGCACAAACCAATTGTTAAACTCACAGAGAATTTGAGCGTGGTCTCGACTGGCACACAAGATACGCTCGCAATCACTTCCCCATCATCAATTAATTCATCGCTATTAGGTAATAGTTCAACGCTGTCGTCAACCAACGCACTCACCGGCAGTAACAGTACCACCAGTACGGTGAGTTCGCGACAAACTCCTTCGACATCGTCACAATATGAATCACTAACAGGCAGCGAAACGGATCCGAATTATGAATCCGTATGCTATACAAATACAGAACGTGAAAACTCCTATGAGAGGCTACAAACTGAATACACTGATACGCAATTGAGCAGTAGCAGTCCGATGACACCAGACGAGCTACACCACCAACAACAGCACCAGCAGCAGAAACTCACAAACAGCATGCCTGGGCATGCAAACAATGCTCAAGCAAAATTAACTGATGACAACAGCACCAGTGGCTCGTTCGCAACCACGGCCACAGCCACAGCCACAAGTTCCAATGCAACCACGACAACAACTATGGTAGAGACGGTACTTTCAAAAATCACACCAACAGCAAACGGGTTAGTAACAGCGCCACACGCTAAAGCGGGGCTGACAATAAATAAAGTGCAAAATACCAGTGAGCTGATAGCCGCAGCAGATGTAGTGGTCGATGATTATTTTCAAGTTTAGTTAATTAATTAGTGTGTAGGTAATTGAGCTAAGAGCACATTTTTTGCTAGGACTTACTAAATATATAATATATAAAAATATTTATTATTATAATGATATGAAAGCGTTTACAAAATATGAAGAAGCATTTTTATATGTAAAAACATATATGTATCTTTATATATGTATGTAGTTATGCATACTTGCATGTTTCAAATGTATAAGACAGCAAAGCTGATGTTGCTTTAAATACGTATATCGCATTAATACATTGTTGCTGTTGGCACAAGACTATATTTCATACAGCGCTTGCCTCCAATAAGTAGATTTTGATTATTGTTTATTTTTTTCATTATTAGAATTAACTAGTAGTACATATCATTGAGTGTGACATTAATGTAATATATGTATATAGATCGCGTACATATATTTTTGCATATAAATATTTTTAAGATAAAATATAGGCGAAGCCTTTAGGTCTACCAAAATTATTTGCGCAGCTTTTGAAAGTTTTATTTAAAACATTTTTTTCGTTTACTCGGCGCTGGCCTTAACTCACAAAGGGCCCTTTTTAAGGGGCACACCTAGTGTAATGGTCTAAAAAAAATAGGTGATTTTTCGGAATTTTTATTAAAAAATATCAATTATTCAAAATTTTAAGAATATATGTAAACATGCTTCAAGAATATGCAGTGAAATTTTTGAAGAAAAAAATTGAATATTTTTTAAGTTATAGTCGATCTCCAACGGCGCGAAAAAAAGGTCCTTCACTGCTACAGTGTTTCCGGCCTTCTCGGTGGATGAAATCTAAAAAAAAAATTTCTCTATTAGATAATATTGTCTAATATAAAAAAAATCAAAAATTTACAATATTGCAGCGTTTTAAAAATGGTCGCTTTTGGTCTGCTAAAATTCGATTTTTTCATCAGATCAAAAATCGATAGGTCATTGTACGTAGAACTATATATAGAACATTTAAAAAAAATTCGAAAGTGATCGGATCATTTGTTTTTGAGTAATCACTGCGGCAAATTCGGAAAATGCTATTTCGAGAAAAACGCGTTTAAAGATAAAATGATCGTTTTTACTCGTAGCTAATGAGATTCTCTAGCTGCCGAGCGGCTACTCTTTAAATTGCTATAACTCAAAAACTATTTGAGATATAGATTTGAAATTTTAATATGTTAATTTTAAAGGTGTAATCTACCAAAATATCGATATTCGCATTCTTCTTGAAAGCACGCAATTCTTAAAAAAAATTGTAATTTATTAGTATAAAGTTTGCGATAAAGGAGCAATAGAAGAATTGAAAATTTAATGCAAATAAAAAAAATAATTTGTTACTAAATAATCAAAAACTTGCATTTTTGCATTATTAAAGATGTATTACCCATTATAGTTCGCCAGCGCCGGTTATAAAATAACAAATATATAAATGAGTTTTCGCTTTAAATTAGCGAGAGGCACTTATGCGTTTTTAGTAAAACCTAAATATAAATTAGAAACAAAATGAGAAGAAAAAACATTCGATCAGATGAACAAAATTATAGACATAAAAAAAAAACCACAAAAAAAAATCTTGAAAAATCCGATATTTAATTCGATAAGCTGTTTTAGTGACAGAACTTGCAATTCGAAAATCCAGTAAACATATGTAAACATTTATATGTAAGTATGCACAAAAGAAACTTGAAATACACTATACTATATATGTACTTACATATGTTTGTATGAAATTTCTTTTAGTTCTCGTACATAAAGATGCATTTCAAAGAGAAACGGTGAAAAAAAAAATAAAATACAAACGTAACTATTTTGAACAAAAATTTATAATATTAATACATAGAGTATGTGGCCTATGCAAATATACAAACCTACACACCAATGGCGCATATGCAGTATTTAAAAAGCCAACAGCTAAAATGTGAATGTGATTCGGACAAAAGAAAATCCAAAATGCCAATCGCTAAACGCAAAACATAAAACTAATAAGTGAAAGGAAACTAAATTTATTTATTTAAAAAAAAAACATACATAGGCTTGTCCAATTGCCGCTAAGAAAGCAATTAATGAGAAAATTAGTACTCGTATGTGATTTCCACATACATATATATACACATATGTGTAATTGTAGTTATTAAAGGGGAAAGTATTAGTTTTAATACATTTATCAGCATTTACCCATTAATTATTTAAGCGTTCTTTTTTTTTGTCAGTTAAACAATATAGCACAATTTATTTTAAAATGGTTTAAAAAGCGTCTGTACAATTTATATTCGTTAAATGTATGAATTATTTGCGTATTTTTATTACACGTTTAGTTTTCATCGCTATCTGTGCAAATAAATATATTTAATCTAATAGTTAATAAATATTTGAAAAAAGCTGTTTAATTTAAATAAATGTATTTTATTTTCTCAATATAGGAGATATCAGTATCATGCATGTAGAAGGTTCTATGTGGTTTCGTCTTAGTGGCCTTAACTTAAATTCTTACCGCTGCAGTGGCATACAAAGTAGAGCATCCATTATTTTCTGACTTTAGCAGCCTGTTACAAAAACATATAAATTTTTTTTTTGGATAAAAAACATGCGCCTTTCTTCAAAACTTTAAAAATCGAAGAAATCTGTAAAATGAATCCAAAAACATACAATAAACTAACAAAAGTCTGGATCAGAAATTTTCTTTATTTATATTTTCTAACAGCTTAGACCTTAAGTTTCATTTACAATATTTTCATTACAGGAATGCTGTTATGTACAGACAAATAATTTCAATTCTCATTCTAACAAAAAAAAATATATGTATACATATATATATTTAAAAGTGTATAATTCGATATATTTCGGGCAAACAATTGTGCAAAAGATCGTTTATCGTATATACATATGTATCCATGTAGTATATATATAAGTGCAGTGTTCATATTATATAAGTACATAGCGTACAAGTGTTATGCATTTAAAATCGCTTACAGGGAACTAAAATATATATGTAAGTATATTTATATAATAGTATGTATAAAAACAGACAAGTCCATTGCAAGCAACGAGAATAATTCTGCCCAATATCGGCTACATTTTTAAAAACGCCGCACAGTTGCTGCTGCGGTATAACGTAATAAGCAAATATATATTATCGAACAGAGCATTATTTGCAGCATTTTGGCAATATACTCCAGCGTTAAACTAAATGTTATAAAAGATGAAACACGCCCGACCAACGCCGCTTCTGCAGCAACAACAGCTACTGCTGCTACCGCACACGCCGCTTCCGCATTTCATTCGCCACCGCTACCGTTGCCTGGCACCAATTGCTGCTGTTGTGGAGGCTGTTGCGCTTGCAATTGCTGCAATTGATATTGTTGTTGTGGCTGCTGTTGTTGCTGTTGCTGCTGCTGCAACAATTGTGCAGCTGCATTCACAACTGATTGCTGCACTTGAGCTTGTGGTTGCTGTTGCAACGGTTGCGTTTGTTGATGTTGATTATGCAAATGATTAAGCAAGGCAACATTACTCGCTTTCATTCGCGCTATTGTGGCGTTTGCCATGCCTCCAACCACCGATAGACACGGTGACATACAAGGCGTTGAGCTGAGGCTATTGCTGATCTCACATTGGTCAAGTAGGCGGAGAAGCTCATGTGTGTCGGGTCCGCCTGAGACGTTCTGCTGGGGTTCGCCTTTTGAAAACAACGCTAATGCTGTTGTGAGATCCCACATCTGTATAGCACCGTTACAGTGGCCAGTCAAAATGAATCGTGAACCCATACGTGATGACACTTCACACTCATGTACACAAAACGAAGTTATAGTTGAACTATCTACCGACTTTATTATACATACACGATCGCCATTCGAAGCTAAACGTACGTAAAGTTGATCCGTTTCAGGAACAACTTTTTGAACAAATATCTGTTCGTCATAATCACCATATGGACCGAAATCATTGCCAGCAGCGTAGCTATAGTGTGAATCGGTTGCTTCGAGCGCAACAATTTTGAAAGAGGCTTCAGGTGTGGAGCCTGGTTGTGTAGAGAGCATGCCACGAAAACGTGTTAGTGACCAAGTGCGTACATGGTGGTATTCACTGCATACGGATACCAAATATTTTTCTGAGAGTGTTACCTAAAAAAAAAATCCGTTAGAGTAAAATAATTCATGAGAAGATAGGATTTTTTTTACCTTAGTAACGGGACTTTGGTGTACGGTAAACGTTTCAAATAAATGCGGACCGTGTCCAGCGGTTTCCGGATGTTGCACAATAATACGCACTGCGCCCGATCTTGTGCCATAAGCTATCTCTATCCAGTTGCCACTGATACCTAATGATAATAAATATATTTAGATAATTTTCAATAAAAACAATGGTAATGCAAAACTTACTTGAAGTTTTTGGCGTAAGATACACGGAAATTGCTGTAATGGGATCTAAGGTGGGGTCTTTATACAATTCAGTCACCAATAAGTCATTATCTTTCATGCGAAGTGGAAACTTTTGCATATCTAAGATGATCATAGACACATAATGAATGCATAAAAAAAATTTATAATAAAAAATAATACTCCATACCTATATAATAAATTGAGCCATTGTTGCAACCGAGCAGTAAAAATGAACCAGCAGAGTCAAAAGACATAACTGGCACAAGATCTTGTATTTGCCAATGCTGTGTCATTGCGTGCCATACACCTATCTTGCCGGACGATGACAAAGCCACCAATTGGCTGCCAATAAAAAATAAATATTCCACACGCACATTTAAATTAAAAGTGCCCACATCGGTCTTATTGCCACCTTCGTGTATACTCCAAAGTCGTATTTGGCTACCATATGAAATGGCAACCATTTTGCTCGGCGTTGGTTCTGCTGTAGAAGTGTTCACTTTCGAATTAATCGCCATACGCTCGATGGTCGCATCAATATGTGGCGAAGTGAATACTAATTGCCAACCACTGGAATCCTTAACACGATAACAAGTCACAAAATGAGCATAGGCCACTGCAATCCAGTTTTGATGTGCTTTAATTATTTGCACCCGCAATGGATCAACCCAATTGGAAGTCAATGACGAACTAAATACTAGACCGACATCGTTACGTATGAGCTTATTCAGATCGGCAGATGAATTACGTGAATGTCGCATAAAATCAAGTGAAGCGGTACGAGAATGTGTAGACGAAGGGCCCGTAGCAGTCCAATTCCTCACATCGTTTACATTGCTGTTGTTTCGACCGCATCGCAAGTCCCATGATGAATTACGCGAATGTGAAGAAGAATGTCTGCTTGTTGCAGACGATGTCTCCGGCACCCGAACCATCGAGCCGGGACGTGCATTAACACCGGCACCTGATACTATACCTGCTGAAGTAGAAGGCAAACAAGATTCAAGTGATACCGGTGGGACATTACTTGCGCTTGCCGTGTTACTAATTCCACTACTATTGGATGATCTGTATATTGGTGCGTCGTTGCTACCAGCAGCACGCTCTTCCAACCCCGTAGCACTGTTAGGCCCAACATTTGCATGAAATGAATCATTTGGTGGCATCACCGGCGCTGGCAAGTAACCATAAAATAGTACATCACCGCATGACGAATGATTTAGATCTTCGCAAAGTGCTAAGCGTTTTACCAACGGTGTTATACCATAGTACTCAGATTCATGTCGCAATGCACGGATTTCGCAGTTTTTGATATCGATATCCTTGGTTCTTAAATAGTTTAAAATGATAGAGAATAATGATGGATCGCGATCTATAAAAATGGCGCCTGTTTCATCACGTAAACTGGAAATGCGTCCACTTAAAAGCGCTGTAAAAAACGTATCTGGTATCCACGTCAGCGTTTGGCGAGAAGTAGAAAACCTACAAAGCAGTTATCAAAATAAAGCAAATTTTAAAACACTACTATATATAGCAGTAACTAAATAAATATCAGACATACATATGTACATGGTTATGTTTTTATGGTTTCCTTAGTACATAGCTATCATAGAGATACACATTTGTATGTACTCACCGTTGTCCTCCAACGTTTAGATTTACTAAATCGCCATTGTTTGCAAAGTAGGCCATCGCGTAGTTGATAGTATCGCCAATGATGTTGCTTGTATCACTATCGCTGTCTTCCTCAACTTTTGCTGCTTGTGTGGTGATCGTCTTGACGTTTTAAGCACAATCAAATGCACTTACCCTACCCTACTTCGACGTAAATGCATTATTTTTCAAATTTTTGGAAAATATTTCACTTGTATCAATAAAATTACACTTCTATTTTGTTTCAGAAATTTCGTTGTATACTTATTTCCAAATAAAAATATGTGATGTCGTTTCACAAATGGAATGCAAATTAAGGAAAATTGTGCTGCAAAAGTTGTTGACGTTGTTGCTTTTATTTATATACAAGACAGTGTTGTTATAACCATTAGGGAATTTTTACGGCCCTTAGTTCGTTAAAAATGTACAACACTGTTCGTTATTAATCTAATGGGGAAGCCACACAAAAAATTTCGCGGTAAAAAAATGTACATTACATCTAGTAAAAAGTAATCCATTATGTGTGAATTTTCGAAGGCAACAAACAAATGACGCATAGTTATGAACTCTGCTCTCTTCATAAAAAAAAGCTGCAGGACTGAGTCAAAAACTACATATGTAAATTGTATTATCGATGAGATAAGTATGGGTCCTATAGTGAAGTAGAATAAGTAAAGGTTTTTGGCCCTTTTGTCCTGGACTACAAGTTAAATAGTAAGTTTTAAAATTAAGAACTTACTAGGTGTGCTACTTTCTTCCAGAGTATTCCACAAGATATAGATCATGAAGAATATTTGGTCATGGTCAGTTCGTTAACGGTTGGCTTTAGTATTTAATTTACCTGGGTACTCTATATGGGATATATAAATAGAAAGTTTATATTATTTACCATTGGCGCTTTGTAAACGCTGAAATGATTTTCGACCGAGCTCTTTCTCCAAGTTCTGGTGGAGTCCTGTGAACGGTTATGGTTCTTAAGAGGAGCTTTATTTCAAAAATACGTTCTAACGAGTTGACATTTCCTGCTGAGTGGCGACCGCAATCAGAAAAATTAACTGAATTTACTTAAATTAAATTTCAATAATTTTTAGATGTTAGTCAGACCAGGACTCGAACCGCGAAACTTCCGATTCGCAGCACGCAATGCAAACCACTGGCTGTAACGGCCGCCAAGTAGAAGCTTTATCCCTTAATAATTTCTGCAGAGAACATATTGCCTAGCGTACTCTCATCCGATCCAGTTCTTGGCATCTATATTCAATACCTCAGTAGCCATCTTCATTACTCTTATAGCGAATTAGACGAACTTAGCCCAGAAGCCTTCTAACATATAGAATTTCATCGAAATCACAATATTAATTCTATCGTCATCATTGAACGATAACGACTGATGCAGCTAAGATACCTTCTGAGCACGAGTTTGATGTCCTGACGACGGCAGCACTCTTAGCTTCGTTTTAAGCCCTCGATTCTGGTTTTGGTGGCATCGTCTTTTCCCACCAAAAATTTGCACTCCGTTATAAGACCACTGCAATAAATGTCACAAAGACCGGTTTTTTCCGTTCATGTCCCGTCCATTGCAAGACATCAACTAGATGGACAACGATACATTCGACGAGGTGATCATCCAAATTGGAACATCCCTTCCGAGGCTGCTATTTCTTTTTCATTCGACTTTTCTTTCACTTAGCGGAGCCCAAACCCATCGTACAGACACGCTACGCTAGAGTTACCGATCGGGACTATTTATACAGCTTCACGACCGTGGCCCGCTTGCAGGCGCGCTGAAGTTTTCTATCTTTAAGCCTTGATCCAAGGTCCTACAGCGATTTTTTCGTTACAGCATATTGCATAAAGGTTACATATCTTTCCAGGGTCTACGTCTACAACGCAATGGGGGAATTAAGTAGAGACAGCGACTTTCTATTGCCCAGCAGGAAGACTAATCCGAACATCGGGATCTTCCGTTAAGTTGAGGTATTTTTCGACCACGCTTTGACACATATTGGGCAGTATCTCAGCCATAACTTGACCAATGTTGGTCTTCAAGTGCAATAAAGCCATTTTCGTCTACGTTGTGTGGAGTGTGACACCATCTTGCTGAAGCCGCATATTGTCCAAGTCGGGCTCGTCAATTGCATACCAAAAAAATAAACGGTTACCATACGACCACAACGTTCGGAATTGACAGTAACAGTCTCGGCATTATCATTTTCAATGAAGTTAGTTCCTCTCACACCTCCGGAACAAGGAGCTCGCCCGACTATAAGTTTTTTTTTTTGTGTAATTACTTCTCTTCAATTATGTGAGCATTCGCTGAGCCCCAAAAGTAAAAGTTTTTCTCATTTACGTATCCACCGTGTGTCTCACCTCGCCGCTTAAGAAAGTTTTTTTCGAAACTACGCCCTCCACAATGGACGTATGTACTTCCTTGCGAATGGGCAGCTGGCTTCAGTTGTCGTGTGAGCCGGAGTTCAAACTATGACATAAATAGTAGTAAGAATTTTCCGGTTGTCAAGAATGTCGAGAAGTATACACATTCGGGTCCACTACTACACTTGCATTTACAGTAGCGGTATTTGTTGTGAAACGAGTAAACCGATGATGCACAGGCCTTACAATATTTGCAACCCTACAAATCTCTTTACATTAGGGACCCAAGTAGTAGTATATTTCCAAATTAAATAAAACAACACTGCTTTTTAAGTTTTACATAAACTTTTTATGTGTAATTATGTCTATATATTTAGGTAAGTTTATTGTTTATATGTATAGTTTATACGTAATTACGTATGTACTCGTATGTATTTATGTATGCATATATTATAATATGTAGTATTTAGTAATTATACTTGTATATATAATATTTAGTGTTATCCTTCTAAACGTTAGTGGTTATGTAATACTTATACATTATAGTTAGTTAGTTAGTAAGTTAGTTAATCCGTCGCTTCAACTCTGCCCGGATTTATGTGGATGCGACTCAACGTTGGCTTACGCCCACTAGTTATCATATTATTGCATTCTTTTTCGTTAAATAATCCAAACTGCCAATCAGTCAGTGTTGCTGAACTTTATCAATTGTTGATATTTAAAAGGATTATAAATTTCTTCATTGCACTTTTAAATTTTTGCGCATTTTTTTATTAACGAATACATACATACTTAATTAACCGTGACTGATAGTTGAGTAAGTTGATTGAGAGTTTAGAGCACATCTTTGAATATTCATTTTTTTTTTTATTAAATACTATAAGTAGTTCAAGCAAGCAATTCGATTCACACTTTACTTATCTCTAGGTGTTGCTTCAAACAGACGGGGCTACAAAGCGTTATATGAAAGAAAAACACAGAGAGAAATAAACAAAAAAAAAGAGGTAAATAAAAAATAAATTTTAATAATAAAAGTGATTAAAAAAAAACAGAAGTAAAATAATAAATAAAAAACTAAAAAAAGAGGAAAAATACGTAAATAAAAATAAATATATAAATAATAAGTAAATAAAAAAATTAAGAAAAAAAAATAAATAAATAATAAAAGTAAATAAAAAATAAAATAAAAGTTAAATAAGAAATAAAAAAAGTAAATAAATAAAAAATTAAAAATAGAGAAAAAAAGTGGAGAAATAAAAAAATAAATAAAAATTAATATATAAATAAGTAACGGAAAAAAATTAAAAAAAAAATAAATAAAATATAATAAAAAGTAAAATAAAAGTAAAAAAATAAAAAAATTAAAAAAGAGGAAAATAAGAAAAGAAAAAAATAAAAACAAATAAATAAAAAAATAAATAATAAATAAATAAAAAATAATAATAAATAAATAAATAAAATAAATAATAAAAAAATAAAAATAAAAAAATAAATAGATAAAAAGAAAGAGGAAATGAAAGAACAGTGGTATGCGTCAACCAGCAGTGGTGTTCTCAAACCTGTTCCTGCTTACTATGATGGAAATTCTCAAATTGTTGTTGGTATTCTAAATCAAACATTGTTATTCAAAACAGTTTAAAAGCATATTATAAAAAGGATAGCCCTCGACAGTATATGAATCCTTATCGTTACGATGTAAAACTATCGTATATTGGACCTCTTAAAACACGCATCAAGTGCCTTCCTTTTCTAACCCGCCTTTTTCCTTTGAATAAATTACATTGCAGACACCAGTTACTCTCCGACTACGACACTAGTAAATCTATTTTCAGAATTTTTTTCTATATTTGTTCTGAATACACTCTGCAAAGAAACCTCTTCATCTAACTTCCTTTTTCTCGGTCTGAAATCGGGCTTAAGGCTTTCATTTAAATGATTCCAAAAAATCCGGAAAGAAATAGCACATAAATAATTATACGCGTGGTGTTTGTATTGATGTTTTGATGGTTTTTTTTTTACAAATGAAAAGACTTGGCTGGTGGAGAAGTTTTTATTTCATACCAGAAAGACGCTCAGAGATATTAGATCTCTTCGCGGAGCTGATAGGCAGCAACAATTGTAGTCAATTTTTACTGAACCATCCAAATATGACACTTCATTAATGGCTAATTCTTACTGGCATTTCTCACCGAACAGAGCTATTAACTTTCCCCGCTTAATGCTGCAACTACCCATCTTATATACCGCACAGCCATAACACCCGACTGTATTAGAATATACAAACATGAGTATTTTCTGTGGGACTACCGTCAGTAACGGCATGGGCAAGCGGAGGCAACTTTTTTTACATGACGCTGTTATAAGATAAGTTGCTATGGATGGAAAATATGTAATATGGGTAGTTAGTTGCAGCATAAGGGCGACCGCTTTGAGAAAAAGAAAATTGTATAATGTTTGTCTACTCACGTTGCAAAACCCTAACCTTCCAGAACATAGCAGGTACTTCTGCCAATCCACTACTATAGATGCCATGGAGAGTTCTACGTAATAACGCAAGTAATCTCTTGCAGCCTATTGATGTTTTTCACGTCTAATTCTGGAGCAACACATGGCATTTACATAATTCTACATTCACATTAACTTATTTTGGGAGAATTCTAACTTAAATTACTAGATGACACACTGAAGCGAATAAAAAAAAATCGTTATTACAATTTTATGTATGCATTATAACAATTCATATATTCATATGAGAACAAAAAATATGTTTTTATGAATGTACTAAGGCTCTAAAAAAGAAGCACAACATACATATGTATAAATTTTATGTTATTTTCAAAAAAAAATTAAATAAAATTAACAAAAATAAGAAAACAAAAATATATATGTATTTGTAGGTTTTTGTAAAAAATATACACAGTGAAGTAGTGTGCGTCAAACTATGCGCATAATCTGACATTCACACATATGAATATAGCATATGTATTTCAATTAATAAGACTTGGACTATAGCTGCAGTTAGTATAAAAATAATAATAATAATTCGTTTAAAATGCCCATTAAACAATGTGTGTACTTTTTAACATCCTCTCATTCCTTTACGGTATATTGCTTTTTTTCTCTTTAATAGTGTACATACATATATGTATATGTGCTCGTTTGTTTAATTATGCAAGAGGAGACAAGTAACAAGTATTGCTAGCTGCTCCTATGATTATTATTTTATTTATATTTGTTAAATAATACACTACAGTTTGTGTAATGTTTGCATTGTGTATAAAAATTTTGATTTTATAATATGTATTTGAAATTATTGTAATACTTAGAAATTGCTTCACATACATTAATGCTACTGTAAGAAAAATATATGTATATTTTTAGGTATGAATGGAGCACATAGTTACAGTCAAATCAGGAAGTAATTTATATGCAATTTTTTCTTATTTAGTTTTATGTATATGTATGTATGTACATACATATGTATATACTATGGATTTTTGTATGAAGTTCTTTTTTTTTTTTTGATGATATATTGATCATTACTCGCTAGTATTCAACGTATATTAAATGTGCGTAAATATTTGTATGTATGTATGTACGTATTTAACATAATACATAATATATTCGAAGATACATTCAAGGGATTAAAGATATTTTGCATACATACACTTTATTATTATTATTTTTTTTTGTTTGTTCTTAATAGTGTTTTAAAAAAATTGTGTTGGCATATCTTCAATAGATTTTTTTGAGTTTATTGGCATATGGTAATTAACTGGCGATAGTTTTACTGGAACCATATTGGTATTTATTTATATATATAGTATACAAAAACTTGTATTAAATTTAACATTATATTATCCTATGATTATCAACTAAAAGCTGTAATGAAAAAATAAAATAAAAAATAGTGCGATAACTTGCAACATAAAATATAAATTATTTATATTATTTTTAACTTTCTTTAAAGTTGTTGCGTCGGTTCATAACAGCTTAAGGAAAAGAAACGTTATTTTTCGTAAAAACAAATACGCTTGTATATATAACTAATAATGCATTGCAAAACTTTTAAAAACATAGTCTGCGATCTCATATATGGGTTCATCTAATGGCTGCTGAACGCATGCGCGTGCATTGATATTTCAAAATTTCTTCAAATAAGAAAAATATATTTTTGTTCAAGTGACTGTTACGTAACTTTGATAATTTCTCCAATTGCACATATCTCTGTTACTGTTTTTTTTTTTAATTTATATTATTTTTTCACAACGCTTTTACAACAGTATTTACATTTGTATATATGTATGATGCGATTTGGAGTATGTTGGTGTATATACAAAGGCTTAGAGTCTCAATTCACTGATACGTGTTTCATTAAAAAAATAAAATTTAAAAAAATAAAAAAATAAAAATTAAAAAAAAAAAAAATTAAAAAAATAAAAAAATATAAAAAAGAAATAAAAAAATACATAAAAAGGAAATAAAAAATATAAAAAAATTTAAAAAAATATTCAAAGAAAATATAAAAAAAATATAAAAAAAATAAAGAAGCAATTAAAAAATTATAAATATAAAAAAAATATAAAAAAATCAAAAAGCAATCAAAAAAATTATAAATATAAAATATCCAAGTTATAAATAATTCTAGTTGGCTGATTCTTATACTATATATTTTTTGTATGTTTCTTTTTGTTGTGCAAAAAGCTTCATATAATCGCAGTGGCAAAACAAATCTCATAAAAATTTAGCAAGTTACAATGAATGTGTATTTGTAACTTCATACTATTATTTAATTTTTTTTTATGCTCATACATACATTTATCTGTACATATGTATGAAATGTAAGTATTTTCTAATCAATATTAAAATGCGTTGTATATTTTTCGTAATTTCTCTTTCTTCATATGATTTTTAAATAGCGTACATACAATACACACGTAATATTTATATATACGTATATGTATATGTCCATGCATGAAACGACTTGTGGTTAAGTCATTAAAAGCATTCGAGTTAATATATATTGTATTTAAATAATTCTCAGTCCGAAACAAGTCTATTACTTATTATTGTAATATACATATCGTATAGTAAATAGATTAGGATAGACAAAAAGTGATTTGTAAAGTGTAATATTGTCGAAATCGTTAAATTATTAATTTAGTAATTATATAATATAATAATTTATAATGAGACAATTTCATTAGTCGGAATATATACATATTTATCTACAATATATCCGCTTTAACGAACTCATATAAATATATCCGATATCAAATCTTGTCATAACTTTAAAGCCATTTCGAATGCCAAAAATAATAACAAAATTAAAGTAGTAAAATTCCATTTGTGTTCATTTGCAACCTAAGTTTTCTCATAAGGTAAAATTTTCATTTATTTCTCTCTTAAAGTATATTTAAAACTTTGATATGAAGCAAACACCGAATTAGATTTCCAAACAATTTCATTAAAATTTACAGAATTTTATCAAAAATATACAGTGGGAAAAACTCGTTAAACTTTTATATAAACAAAATATGGCTAAGCTTGTTTGAATCCATCTTAATGCATATGGCTATGGTTTCCATTTGTTGGAAAAAACATCAAGACGCAAAACCAGCTAGTAAGTAATATATATAATATATATTATTACCCGCGCTTCTACTGATTTACAAAGTTCTTTATTTGTATGTATTTCCATGGCTTGCAGGAATTGCGAAACAAATAAAAACAACAACACCAATATTCACATCTTCATCGTTTCAACGATACAAAAAAAATTAACACAACATAAAATCAAACTAGCTGCAGAGCTCACATCCCTAGCTACATAACTAAAACTTAAACATAAAGCCAAATTTTTCAAAAATAATAAAGTAGCTCAAGTTGCAAATAATAGCATTTAGAATTCCACTTCTGTTATTTTTTCTAAATAAATTTTAAAATAAAAATAAAAATACTTGCAAATCCTGTCAAATATTCATAAAAAATAAGTATACAACGTTAAGTTAACTCAAATCACTAATTGTCTTCCAATTGCATTTCAATTCAATACATTTAAAAGTATTATATTATTTGAAAATCTAATAATATTAATTCACCATTAAAGTATGAGATTCCATTGGTGCTGCCGAATCATACAAAGTATCCGTATCCTGAGTAGGCTCGCCTTGCAACTGACATTGGTTAGATAACGTACCGGCACCGCAATCACAGAAGAAGCTTCATAGAAAATACACATATAAATCGATTACAGTACAATAAAAGAAAATTGTAATCTCTTCATTGTAAAATAAAAAGAAACGTCATGCATTCGGTCGGTATACAAATTTCTTTACAACTTACCGATCATGTCGTATAAATTCGACATCGTGCCCAGCATGACAATTCTTAATGCAGTTAACACAAATTGCATTGCGATCAGTTGTATTGCACGTTTGACAACGGTAAAAATCATGCATCGGAAATGACGTGTAGCTGCTTATTTTATACAGACATTGACCACCAGATACTGCCTTTTCGACTTCGTCTTCGTTGTTGAATATATTATTACCGCGTATAATGGGCTGCACACCGCTAGCCAAACACAAGCCACCAAATTTATTTTTGAAAATTTGATTATGCTCTAATGTGGCTGTTGCATTATTGGTAATTTCAACGCCAGCGGCCTGACCATCATATATACGGTTTCGTCTCAAAATTGGATGAGATTGTGTAGAAATAAGAACACCAGCTTGTGTATTCCGGAAGATATCATTCTCTTCAAGTATACCTTTGCCTCCATTGAAAATGCAAATACCACCATCACGACCATCATAAATTTTATTACGCTTCAATGTTGGATTCGAATCGGTTTTTATCCAAACACCTGCCATTGCATTATCAAATATTTCATTTTGTTCCAATAAACCAAGTCCGCCGTTATACACTAATACGCCACCGTTTTGACCACCCCAAATTTTATTACCACGTATAACGGGATTGCTACCAGTACGTATTTGAACACCTGAATAAAGGTGATTGAATATGTCGTTGTCTTCGAGTTTTCCGTGTCCATTATCATAGAAATATACGCCAACCTGAAATGGAATGCTTATATGTATATCTGTATATTGTTACATGATTTATTACAAGCTAATTAATACTTCCCGCAACGTCTAAAGGTGCAATTATCATATAACATAACATAAGATGCGGCTTTTAACCAAACTCATATTTTAGAAAACAAAATATAACGAATACACTTAGTTGCGGCCACATTTGTTTATTTTGGGCATTTGTATACCTATCATCAACTAGAGATGGTATGTTAACCCTAGTCCAAAGTATGTGAAGTATATTGATCAGATCAGATCGACGAGATGAGTAGATTTAACAATGTCCGTTTGTTTGCAAGTCTGTCAGTCTCTTTGAACGCAAACTATTTGTTCAGTTTTTGAGATGTTCCAATCAAACTTGTATACAGATGTATTTTTATGTAACATAAATACGTATATATAACCAATTTCTCAGATTTGGGATGTTTAAACGCATGAAATTAGGTTTTTTATAATAACGTAACGTAATTTAAAATAATATGATAGTGAAACCAAAAACTAGATCATAAAGGCCGATTTTTTAGATGTGAGATTTAGGTTCAAATCGCCAAAAAACCATGCAATGCAAAAACTGATGTGTTAATGACAGCATTCTTTCTGCTTCAATACCATTAATTCCATTTTTTTTATTAGTAGTTCCCTATCAAAATTGCCGAAAGTTCTCTTAAAGTCGATAAATAGACCGAATACCTTTCAATTAATTCTTTCATTCCATTGTTATGCTATCAGGTTCATATCTAAACGACTGTCGCTTGTATTAGCTTCAATTTTCCCTTGCGAAAATTGGAGCTTGCTATTTTTTTAGTTCTTATAATTTTCTTTAGCTTACAAATCATACATAATTAAATTACCTGTTTTCCAGAATGTATACGATTTCGACGCAATACTGGTGTGCTACCGGTCGTTATCCAAACTCCAGCCAACGTGTTCGAGTATACTTCGTTTTCTTCAATTAAACCTTGTCCCTTTTCGTGTACATATATACCACCGTGTTGACCATGATGAATTTTATTGTGACGCACTATTGGATCACTATTCGTACGTATTTGTATGCCAGCCAAAGCATTACCATAAATATTATTATGCTCAATGAGACCACGTCCCTCACCAAATATATAAACACCGCCTTGATGGCCGTTATATATCTCATTTTTGCGTATGGTGGGATTGCTGTTTGATGTTATCCAAACACCTAGTTCAAAATGTCGGAAATGTTTATGAATTTCATTTTATTTCATACAAAATATATGTATTCACCTGCAAAATTGTTCGAGTGTATACGATTCTCAATAAATTGACCCAAACCATTTTCATGAACATAAATGCCACCCGTTTGACCGTGATGTATCTCACATTTGACTACAGTTGGATTTGCACCTGCTTTCACTTCAAAGCCGGCAATGCGATTGTTATGTATATCGTTTTTCTCAAAATATCCCTATAATAAAATCAAATAAAGTTAGTTATGGTGCAATAAATAATAAACAACACAATTTTAACATTAATAAATGTTACCATTACATAATATACTCACCATGCCATTTTCGAAAGTGAATATACCCACATCGCGTCCATGATGTATGTGATTTTCACGCATTATGGGACTGGCAAAGTTTTTTACCCAAATACCAGCCAAAGCATTGCGGCTGATTTCATTGTGCTCGTAAGTTCCTTGAGCATAATCCGTAACATAAAGACCGACGTTCTCACAGTCACTTATGTCACAGTTGCGTATAACTGGGTTAGCATTTACGCCACTAACGCATACAGCGGCACCAACAACTGATGAACTTCGTATAATGCAATTATCTACAGTCGGTGAGCAATTTTCACCAATATCTAGACAATAGTGTTTGTGATGAGACACTGTTGAGGTAACGTCAGGTGAAAATTTCAACGTCAAATATCCGACATAAGCGTATTTGGCACCCTCTACAAACATCATAGTTGATCCCGCCTCACGCTCCAATACCACCGACTCTGCAACGTTGCCGGATGCTGCCCCAATCAAAGCAACATCGGATTCTATATACAAGTATTCACCTTTGTAATGGCCCGCATGTAGAAAAATTAGTGGTCCAGGATGATCGATAGGTGAAATGTTATCTTCATAAATATTCCCCAATGAACTGCAGTTACCACCAGGATTACTACCAGAATTACCACCATTTGAAGAATTATTTGATGAATTCGATCCAGAAGCTGCAACTGCAGCTGCCCGTTCTTCTGGATAGTCTAGTGCTGCTTGGATGGTATTAAAAAACAAAATACTTCGTCCGGAATATTTCTTCTCCTGCAATTGATGAAATGTAGATAGAAAGTAGGTGTATAAAAAAAACAAAATACCTGAAAACCACAACGAACGTGTACACCACGATATAGCTGACGGAAACTCTCTTTCCAGGGGTTGGCATACTCCGATTCTTCTGGTTTTTCGAAGACAAATTTACACAATTCGGGATTGAAAAGTGGTATATCATATTCAAACACGGACTGATATAGTCGTTTCCACAATTCAGTATCGTTAGCGATTACATTGAATCGTTTGCATACCAATGCCAGACGGCAAAGATCTTGTTCTAGTAGATACGAAAATATGGCGAGGAGAACTTCATCCGGCATTTCGTATTGTAAATATTGAGCTGCAGTTGGTCCAGTCGGAGTATTACTGCCAGTATATCCTGTCATACAAGGCGTTTCTGCGGTTTGTGCATACAAACGGCGAGATCGTTTTCGTGCTGGCAACATAAAATTATTGTCTTCAATACCGCCAATCGGTAGAGCACTGCAGTGTTGCTGTGGTATGGAACTGTGAACTGTTGGAGATGGGCCTAATGGAGCACCAGTGGCGGGTGAATTCACAGGAAAAGTGGCACTAGTTAATGGCGCATGTACTATGGCTGACGACGATGAAGACGATGATGGCATAACAGATAATGAGGGTGAACTACAATTACCACCCATAAGCGGTGGTGAACTGCATGGAACTGATTGTGAACTACTACTGCTTGTATTGGACGATGACGTATTGCTAGTGTTGGCAAGACTATTGGATGCAGATGGCGATGTTAGATTTGTGCTACACCACTGCTCATGTCCGCTAGTTGGCAACTTGCGGCGAAGATCGTAAGGAGATTGATGTGAGCAACTGGCCACTGAAGTCGACGTAGATGCTGTTCCATTTGATATAGAAGATGATGCGTTACAAAACACAGAGTTGGAGTATAGAGGATTACAAGCTATAAGGAAATTATTATAAAATATTTTTCATGTTTTTTAAATGGAATTATTATATATACCATTTGAAGTGCCGATATCATTAGTTGCTGAACTACCAGAACCTAAAATTTTATTAAAACAGTTTTTTTTTTTTTAATTCCGTACTACAGAAATAATTTACAAATATACCTCCACAGTGGCTATTTATATCAGATTCCATCATGTGAGCTCCAATAAAACCTGAATTTGCATTTAAGCTAGGTGCGCCTACTAAATTGCTGGCACATGAAGCACCATGCAATTTTTGTCCGGTTACTAAACCAAAGTTGCAGGAACTTGTAATACCACTGGATGTTGATGGTCCAGTATTAGATGAAGATTGTGTGTTAGATGCACCTGAAACGTCGACAAACATCTGCGACGAAATTGCACCTGCCGCTGCCGATGCTGTTGTGCTAACAACAATTGCAGCTGACTGCGATGATGCGTCACCAGGAGAGCATGACGATGATGGTGATGTTGAAAGTGCACCCGATGGAATTGACGATGCGTCCAAAGTAGCTGACGATACCACTGGGTTTGATGCGTTGGCATTATTTTGAAGTGAAGATGCAGTCGGATTACTACTAGAATTTGCATTTGAGCTTGACGAAGCGCTTGGGCCGGGTATGTTTTGTATCATTGGATCCATTATGTTACCTAAAGTGCAAAATTGAATTTAAGTTCACTTTTTATCCAAACATAATTGATGGTTCTACTCACCGGATGGACGATTAGGTAAAGCTATACGATTGGCAACTTTTCGACGGGAGCGGCGCACGTAAGACCGCGACGATGTAAAGGAAGCGCTGGGCATTTTTCTTATGTTGAATTTAAATTCTCTTGACGAATAAAGTTTAGTTTTATTTTTAAGAATATATTACTTATACACTATTTGTATACATACAATTGGATAATAATCAACTTCCTTTCTTTTAAATGTTTATACCGCGTTCCACTTGTACCTTTTTATTTTGCAAAAAAATTTTCGTCGTGTGTTTATATTTCTAAGTACAAAGCTCTACCGATACCAAAGTCAAGTCCTTGCAGCCGAGCAAAAGGGAAAGGGTTCATATAGACCCGAACAAAACGCCATTTTCGGCAATCACATTCACGGTTTTTCCTTTTACACTGGCAATTTACAATGACAGTAGTCGCTATTCCTCTGGTCCCACCTTTACTTCTTATTTCTCTTCCTATTTATTGTATATTCCTATGATTTTATATATTCGCTTTTGTTTTCGTTTTGAGACGGCATTGAATTTTCTCCTGTTTTATTAAGCACTTGTTAAAGTAACACAACCTCATTAAACAACTGCAGATACATCTGTTTCAGTCGCACTTACGCTACTAGAAGTCAGCGTTTTTTTACCTAAAAAAAGATTTTTTGTTTTTCCTTTGTGAGATTAATATTGACAACTGAAAAAATGTTTGTAGGCAGGTAGAATTTTTTCGTTTCTAAATTATGCACAATCCACTGCAAGCACAATATTTAAATTAGGTGTACTTTAAAGTTTATGCACTCAAACTACAGATCTGGTATTAAATAAAATTTATTTTTGGTTTAATTGGCACAAAAATAGTATTTTACACAGCACAAATATTTCTCGTGCATGTGCAATGGGTCGACGCACTTTTAGTAGGGATGCTTTTTTATGTATGTTGTATCACTACTTTTTCAATCTACTACTTGGTAATTGCTAATATTCAATATGAATTAAAAATGTGTTGAATTATTTTGTTAACAACTCTGTCTATGTTATAAGTTAGACTTATTTATTTAAAAACAAATAACTCTTTATAACTCTCAAAGCTTTGGTTTGCATTGATATTGAAAATAATTAAAACTTTTATTGTATTCACAAATCCGAAAACCTATGTAACTTATTTTGAACACTGTTTTCCAATGTATCATAAAAAATTGTCAGATGTTTTGTTTAGGATTTCTATTCAAGTTACTTCTCTCTTTTTGCCGCGTATTATTGAAACAAAGAACATTGAATGAAATAATAATTACCAAAATACCATTTTGGTGTGTTGGTTGGACCAAAACTCAAACCATCGTCTTCCGAATGTTCTAAGAAAAATTAATAAAATCTCACTCATTCCTTTTCTGATTTATACGAGATTTATTTTTCTTACACATGGTATCTCTATAACTATTTGCCAGTTTTAATCCATCTGCCTGAGTAAACCCTTAATTCTTCTGTTTGCGTTTTTACCTATACACAAGATCTTCGGTTGATTTATTTTCAATTTACCGTTTTGAGCTTGAATTTTTCGGGTGTAAAGTTTTTAATATCGTTTCAAATACGTAGTAATAAAGTGTATTGCTAAAAATACGTTTTTAATGTCTGACTGGGAAGAGGAAAATTGGGATGAGGACGTCCAAACTACTGTTCAATCAACAAAATCCTTTATGAATGGTAGTGGTCAAGAGCAAAGGCAAAGTTCGAGTCGCTATCGCAATAATGATCGCTATGCTGACGCTGTAAAAAAACGTGGTAATAACCAAAGAGGTGGCTATAAGGAAGAAATAACTGTTCCATCTGAGTGCGTGGGCTTGGTCATTGGACGAGGAGGTGCAACAATACGGGAAATTCAAAATAAGTATAATGTTCGTGTAGATCTCGATAAAGGAAAAAGTTCAGCAGCAATTTTTGGTGCTTCTGAGTATGATGTTAAAGATGCAAAAGTATATATTGAAAGACTATTGGAAAAAGGCGCCCGAAATAACAACAATAGTTTTAGCCATGGGCGCGCTAAAAAAGATAGGCCTTCCGAGGATATCTACAAATTCCAACCAAAAGAAGACGAGTCGTCAGAGGCTATAGAAGAGAAAGTGGACTATTCAATATTAATCGACTGGGATGCCATTAAGAAAAAATCGGTTAAATAAAATTTTGTATATAATAAATATTTTTGAATTACGTTATTAAAATTGCAGAAAGAAGAAAGCGCAAAGCGTTGGGCTAAATGTCCTCAATTGACGAAGAATTTTTATAATGAGGATCCTGAAGTAGCTAACTTGCGGGAAGAAGAAGTCGCACGAATAAGAGAACAAAATAATAATGTAACAGTTTCACGCGTGTTTAAAAAGGATAACGTGCCAGAAAATATTCCAAATCCAGTATGGAGATTTGAGCAATGTTTTGCGTCCTATCCGGATTTATTGGATGAAATTTATAAACAAAATTTTGACAAACCATCACCCATCCAATCACAAGCCTGGCCAATATTACTAAAAGGCGAAGACATGATAGGTATCGCGCAAACTGGTACAGGTAAAACTCTTGCTTTTCTTCTGCCTGCTATGATTCATACCGAGTACCAGTCCATACCGCGATCGCAACGAGGTGGCCCAAATGTGTTGGTCCTTGCACCAACACGAGAACTCGCTCTACAAATAGAAAAGGAAGTTCATAAGTATTCCTTTCGTGGAATGAAAGCGTAAGTTTTAATATCGTTTTATTTAACTTTGCGTTAACTATGCCATTCAATATTAGCGTTTGTGTATATGGCGGAGGTAACCGTAAAGAACAAATAAGTAACGTCCAAAGCGGTGTTGAAATTATAATTTGTACGCCCGGACGTCTTAATGATTTAATTGAAGCTAACGTTATCGATGTTTCCACCATAACTTATTTGGTTTTGGATGAAGCAGATCGCATGTTGGATATGGGTTTTGAGCCACAAATTCGTAAAGTATTGTTAGATATACGTCCTGATAGACAAACTGTTATGACCAGTGCTACATGGCCACCAGGTGTACGACGATTAGCTCAGAGTTATATGAATAATCCTGTGCAAGTTTGCGTAGGTTCCTTGGATTTGGCAGCAACGCACACTGTCAAACAGATAATAGAAATTATGGATGACGGTGATAAGTTTTTCGCAGTTAGTATTTTATTTATACAGCTCCTAATTATATATATTTGTTAAATGTTTATATATTTTTTTTAACAGATCCAACAATTTGTGTGCAATATGAAAAAGGACGATAAGGCTATTGTTTTCTGTGGAAAGAAGACTAGAGCTGACGATTTGTCTAGTGACTTGACTTTGGAAGGACATATGTGCACCTGCATACATGGTTCCAGAGATCAGGTAATTTATTATTGGTAATAAAAATTGAATAAATCTATTTCGCATCTATATAATAGTCTGATCGGGAACAAGCTATTGCCGATATAACGTCTGGGCATGTCAAGTTGTTAATAGCCACAGATGTTGCTTCCAGGGGTCTGGACATAGATGATATCACGTTAGTATGATTTCCCATTTGTTTCTTCTTTTTTTTTCTTATTTTTTTAATGTGAATTTTTAGGCATGTGATAAATTTTGATTTTCCTCGCAACATTGAAGAATACGTACATCGAGTAGGAAGAACTGGTCGTGCTGGCCGCACCGGAACTTCTATAAGTTATATTACACGTAGCGACTGGGGTGTTGCCAAAGAGCTTATAGGTATTTTAGAAGAAGCTAATCAAGAAGTTCCTGATGAACTTCGTAATATGGCTGATCGTTTCAAATCCATGAAGAGTCGCAAAGAAAACGAAGTTGCAAAATTTAATAACAATTATCGTAGTCGGGATAATGGAGGCGGACGAAGTGTCCGAAACCGAGAACGCTATTGAGTTACTTTACTCCTTGGACTAGTATTCATGACGTGATGAAGTGGAAAGAAATCTGAATTTTAATTTTTTATGATACATTTATATGAATGTACATTTAACTTGAATTATTTATATTAATAAAATATACTTACGGGGAGTTAAAATGAGACCAGTTATAATGGTATTGTGGAACATGAATGTTTTCAGCGATTCTTTCATATATTTAAACCGAATTCGAATTATAATTACTACTATTTAGATTAAAAACATTGGTAGATTAACAATCTATAGCTGTAAGATCAAGGTCTTCGTCCCAAGCACTTTTCTCCGCTTGTTGGCTGTTGTATGTACTTTCTTGTGTTTCAGCTATGTTCCACAACTCATCATCTTCATCGGCGTCCAACGTTTTTGAATTGTCGCTAGCTCCACGTTTTAAAGGTTTGCGCTGTGATATGTTCGCTGCTTTCTTAGCTGTACGATTTCCCATCAGATTTTGACTTTCTTCAAAATATTGATTTGGATGGTGGACACCCAGCTCAACGGGACTTTCATGCATTATTTGAAAATACTTTCCACACGCAAGTTGATAGTGACCTTTGGTCACATAATTAATAACCTCTTGAACATGTGTCGAGGATAAACCATACGAAGCCAGCTTCACTTTCAAAGCACTTGTATCACTTGTTTTATAAGGACATCCGCGACAATCATCTTGTACAGGGTTTTCCTGAATTATCTTCAGACATGAGTATGGTGTATAGCTGATCATTGACCCTTTTTTACCGTAATTGTGATAAATGTTGTATTCATAACGCTTTGCAAATTGCTCAGCGTCGATTTTCTTTGTAAATTCTTCACGGAAAAAACGGAGAGAGTCTTCCAATGATACACCAATACCTTTAAGAAACAGACCATATTGCATGCGTCCACCATGCTTTAGATGATGATTCGAACGCAAATATTCGTGGCAGTTGCGCATGCAGATGGGAAATGATTTTTTTGAAAGCTGGTCTAGGGATTCCGGAGGTACGTTACCCTGTTTGCTAAGGGCATAATCCTTTCCGGTGTAAGAAGTATGCAGCGACTTCAACAAATGGAATATGCGTTCATCTGCTTCAACTTCTCGTATGAGTTTCTGTGCTGATTGTAGACCGTGTTCTATTTCATTAAGCTGAAGTACGGCAATGATAGAAACAAAGTCATGTGTATTGACATATGCGAATCCACCATTCAAATAACAACGTCGCGAACGCACTAAGTCCAGCACTTGTGTGAAATGTACCTTGTAAAAATCGAGCAATTCAATTTTAGATATGCTCTGACCAACAGTACTTTCGTATAGACCATCTTTAACAGAATCCTTCTGCGCCTCGCTTAGTGGTGAATACTCTAATTTATTCAATTCAAGGAAATGTTTGATGTCAGCGGAACTCATTGATGAAAACTTATATTTGAACAACTCCATTTCTCGGGTAACAAACCAACTGCATAAAAAAATACACATTCATACGTAAATAAAATTTATTGTACATTATTTTTTAAGCTTACCGTTTCAGTTCCTCTGTTCGACAATACGCTAATCGCAGAATGAAATGTGATATGTAATCACGACGCCTAGCTTGTAATTCATGCTCATACTTTGTGTTATCAGTTGATGGATTTGCACTACTGTTTGTACAAAGACGCAGATATCCTTTTAAGCCTTCACGACTCAGCTCTGCATTAACAAAATCTTTCCATTCATCTGATAAGAATCGTAAACTTTTAGAGCTTGCCTGTTCAAAAATACGTAACACTTTAAGGCGTTCAAGTGCCAATTCCTCAAATTCGTGAATTTTGATGTCTTCAGTTGGTGGCATTCGGTATAGTGCAACATTATGTGGATATTGTATTTCAAGATTTTCGAATTCTGGTTTTCGAACAGTTCGCGCCCGCGATTTTCTCCGAAAATCCATGCTATCTGCTTTCAATATTTTATTTTGGTTTGGTTAATATTTACAATAATACCAATTTAATAAAAAGGTAATCAAACTTATAGATTACTTTGGCGGGCACTTTGACAGCAGAATGCAGATGGCAAGGCAAATTAACGGATTGATAAATTCGCCTTAGCAAAAGGAATTCACAATTAAAAAGTCAAATTTAAACTAGGGTTGGAGCCGAAAGTTTCGTGGTATTGTTGCGAAAATGCGAGGCGAATGTCAGATGAAAGAGAGAAGCCGATAACTAGTACATTCTAGAAACGATAAAACAAGAACCTTCCATAGCGAACAAATCGATGCTTCTACGCTTTCGTCTGCGAGCAGCCGACTGCTATATAAAGGCGANACAAAGTCAATAAAGTGGAGGCTGAAACATCAGATGTGATGACGGAAATATTGAGAACTCTGAAATCGCTAGAAGAGATGTATAGTTCTGGTTTCGAGACTCAGGCGGGAAAATGCTTTAAATGTGGAAAACCTGGTCACTACGCACGCGAATGCAGAACAAGTTCCAGCAGACAGGAGGTACAGCGTAAACGGAAGGCAGAGGAAGATGAACCATCAACTTCTCAAAGTTATGACTTCACAATCGAGCACCGCAAGGGTAATACGCACGGAAATGCTGACGCTATGTCCCGTCGACCATGTAGTATAGAATGTAAACATTGCTCAAAAGCTGAGGGTAAAGAAGACATAATAGATGTCCGGCTAATGAAAGTTACGCATGCAGAAGAGTGGGAGGTAAGTAACTTAAGGAAATGTCAGCAAGAAGATCCAGATCGGAGATCGGATGTTCTTAAGGAATTCCATAACGGTCCTAGTGGAGGGCACCTAGGCATTACAAAAACGCTGGAAAAGATCAAGCAGCGGTTCTATTGGGTTGGCTGTCTGCAATCGGTCGCGGAGTGGATTGCTAATTGCACGGAGTGCATAGCAGCTAAAGGCCCAAAGTCCCGAAGTCATGGGCAGATGAAGCAGTATAACGCAGGGGCACCATTTGAGCGGGTTGCCATGGATGTAACCGGTCCATTCCCTATGAGCAAACAAGGAAACAAATACGTTCTCGTTTCAGTAAATGGCCTGAAATTTACCCAATCCCAAACCAGGAAGCAAAAACCGTTGGTGATGCATTAACTAACAATTGGGTTACCAGATACGGTGCGCCTATAGAATTGCACTCAGATCAGGGAAGAAACTTTGAATCGGCGGTGTACCAGGAGATGTGCCAAATACTTGATATTTGAAAAACCCGAACGACAGCTCTACATCCTCAATCAGATGGTATGGTTGAGCGATTCAACCGGACCCTGGAAGAGCACTTGTGGAAAGTAGTGGGCAAGCATCAGAATGATTGGGATGTGCATATACCGCTTTTCCTGATGGGATATCGGTCTGCCGTGCATGTAACTACAGGGAAAAAAGCTGCGAGGATACTGTTTGGAAGTGAGCTACGGTTGCCCGGCGATTTAAAATTTGGAATAACTGGCGATGCGAGGAGAATTGGGAAGGTAACGAAAAAGGATTTGGTGTTGCTGTACAATCCACAACGAAAGAGGGATTTGTCCCCAAAACTTCAATGTAATTGGGAAGGTCCATACAAGATAATCAAACGACTAAACGACGTAGTGTATCGAATCCAAACCGTTGGAGTCCAAGAAACAAGATGAAAGTGTTTCACCTTGAGAGGCTTGCTGAGTTTGGAACAGCGAATATGTCTTATCGGGACGTGTTGCGAAAATGCGAGGCGAATGTCAGATGAAAGAGGGAAGCCGATAACTAGTACATTCTAGAACGATAAAACGAGAAACTTCGATAGCGATCAACTCGAGTATTCTACACTTTCGTCTGCGAGCAGCCGACTGCTATATAAGGGCGACACTCAGCTGCCAAGTAAGTTAGTTACAAAGTGAACTCGTTGGAGACAACATCAGTATAGAGTTGAGCGGAATAAACTATTTTAGTCGTAAAGTAAACGAGTTGGAGATTACATTTAAGTAAAGTAAATAGTGAAAGTTTTATATAAGTGATTGTAACTAGTAAAGTGCATTGTAATTGCAAATTAAGTTGGCGAGTTTTTATTTAACAATCCAGAGATAGTACCCGAAGGATTCAAAAAATCATCGATGTTGATTCAGCAAAATCGTAACAATATAAAGGGTGATAAAACCAAAACCTTCTGCCTATCAACCAAACTCCCAATTTTGGTTGGAAGTCAGCAAAATGGCATCACTGGTGCTAAATGGGTTAAGCATGCAACGGTGGCAACAAGTGAAATAATACCACAAGTGAATTATTATTTCAATAACAATGCGCATTGTTAATTCCTTTGTATTAGAATTGCGTGAGGTAAGATATTAACATATGTACTACAGTTTTTACACGCTGAGTTAATTTTTTTAGTATAAAGGAATAAGCATTGTGACGCGAATAAAATTTGATAATTCAGCAACTAGTGAGAATCTCAATGAATTGAAGGGCTACCATGGGTTGACCAAAGAACATTGGCAAAACTTGGATACAGAGTTGGCAAAGCTATTTTATAATTTTTCAGATGAGGCACTAAAAGATTGTCAATTCAGAGAAAAAGTACTGAAACTTGACGAATATCGGGTTGAGATCACAATTTCGTCAATATCTATGAAAGCTCTTTTGGCTTGCTTGGGTCATGCCACGTTTGAAAATAAAACTAAAACAATAGCATTGGACTTGTTTATTCGGCGTCGAGAAAAAGTGAAGAAAGCATCGCGGCGTCTAAAGGTAGGTGAGCTTGTTGTAATAATATAAATTCAGTTAATCAAGTTTAATTTTTAGATGTTAGTTTCTCCAACTTGTAGCGCTGCTGCTGAATTAGAGTATTGTCCTCAACCTGTTTCAAACGTAAGCCCGTGTATTGAATCTAATTGCTTGCTTTATGTGCCATCTAAGATTGAAAATAAAGCATCGAATTCAAATCCAGTAAATATAGATTTAGATGACGAAGAACGTTACTCACCTGAATTGAAGAAAGAATACCACTTGCCAGTATATAAACCTATGCCCATTAAAAAGGACTCCAACCAATTACCTTACACGAGCAAGAAAAAACAAAAGATGAATATTGTTATGAATAAATTAGATACGGCTGGAAATAATCTATTAATTGATAACCAAATCGCCACGCATCATATATTGGTTACTGAAGAAAATAATTTTTTCATGTTAAAAGAGAATTTAAATGCTTCAAAACATCAAAATTGTCAGCCGGACAACAATCAGCTCAGATATATACAATCGCAGAAAGATGTGCTAAAATCACAACGGATTGAATTAGACAAGAGAGATAATGAGAGTCAAGAAGAAGATTTGAGTAAACGAAAGAAATATACTAGCCTAAAAAAACGTGAAGATACTAATCAGGTTTTAAAAACAGATTGTATTGAAAAAGGGAGGGCAGTTTCCAAAACCATGAAGGAAATTTTCGGATCTGAACCAGAAAGCGACGAGTCTTAAAAACTCATTGAAATAAGTCGAAAACTTAGAAAATGCTACACAAATGAAATCGTTGTAGAATGAGTTCACCGAGGAGCTGTTATAATTTGCTCTAGTGTAAAGGAAAGACTTAAGTAGCAGCAACATATACGCATCTATCTGCAGTCAAGTCTAAAAAGCTTTACTGTTTACTGAATCAATATCGTCATATTATTGTCGAAGCAAATAAAAAAAAATATTATTTAATTAAAAAGTTTTAGTTTCTAAATTTTTGTTCCTACTTTATTGCTGAAAACTCGTAAATTTTCTTATCAACTCGGAGTTCGAAAATAATATTCTCTGGTGTTTCGAGGCATTTTTGTGATGAGTCGGCCAAATTAATGCCCACCTTTTTGCTTCTTTCATCTTCTTCCTCTATCCGAGTCAACTACGGTGCTACTTGGTGACCTAGATTAACTAGCTGGCTGTGGTTTTAATCGAAATATAGCCTGTGAGCGAAATTTACTGGTAGCACTTAATCTGCCTATCATTACCCCCTGGATTGAGGAGACAGGTCAAAATCTGAAACACATTATTTAATTTTGGTTTATTCGAAGCTCCGTCCGTCTGGCCAGAAATTAAATAACCTTCGTTCGCAGGTAATCTTTGGTCACCAGCTGTACGAAGCAGTGTCTGGTCTAGCGAAATGCCCATGAAAGAACGACAAACATGTCTAAAAACAGTCGTGACGGCCGTAACGCGAAACACCCCGACACCAATATTATTCTGGTTAGATAAACATACTTCATCTAGCTACGATGACTTACTGTGCCTGCGTATAAACAGAGTTGAGAAAGCTGAGAAGAACGACGGCAACAATTATTAACTTGTACAACGTCATACTTATTCGTCCAATTGCCTAAGTAGTGCAGAATAGAATTTAGAATGAACCAACATAGCCGTTTTAGTGAAGATCCCGATATATGGTCTGATGCGATTACCAAGTTAGAATAGGGAAACTGATACATGTGTGGGACGAATGTCTAATGAATAAAGATCCTACAAGGACAAGCGCGTTCGAAAAGTTTGTTTATAGAGCGATTTCTATTCTTGCGTGAACTGCATTTTTTGTTCATAAACATAACTAGTAATAAGAAAAAAGATATATGGCATCCCGTAAATCTCAGCTGATTTTATTGTGATGTTTTGAATTTCGCGGTATTTGTATATTTTTTAGTAATCGATTCGTGTTATTTTTCTGATATTTTCTATAATATATTATGCGTATTTTAAATTCGTGTCTTTTGGAGCTACGCGAGGTAAGATATCCTTTTTAATAATCCTGCTTAGTTAAATTAACTTTCCTTCTAGTACAAAAAAGGAAAGGTCCTTTGCCGAATCATGATAAGCAACACCACTACGGAAGGGCAAATCGCAGAATCTCAAGGCATTCATTGGTTGAACAAATCGCATTGGAAAAAATTTGATATAAAAATGGATCAGTTGGTTAATGAGTTTTTTAATAAAAAGCTGGAAAAAAGTGTACTTGTTGAGGAGTCATTCAATATAAATCAGGAAATTGACGTAAAGGTGACAAATTCTGCAGCAACACTAAAATCTCTCCTGCAATTTTTAGGCTATATAACGTTTGGAAAAAATGACAACATATTAGCGTTAGACTGTTTAGTGAGCTGCCCAGTTATGCTAAGTGAAGATTCTCAACCTACTACTGTGAGTATTGTGGTTATTTCAAATAATCACTGTAAAGCCTTATTTATCAGGTTTCGGAGTCTATTTCTTTGAGCAAAGCTGATGATTCGGAAAAGATGATGCATTCTCTAAACACTTCAATGTCAGACATCAGTATTATTAATGAAAATCAATGTTCCCTAAAATTATTTAAAACAGTTGAAAAGAATATTTCTTCGGATTCCAGTGAAGATTTTAAAACTGCTAAGCTCACAAAGTGTGAAAAGAATCATGAAGAGTCACCGAAAGTTATAAGTTCTCTTGCCAAAAGTAATATTACTTTACGTAAGCACAAAACTAGGTCAGGACAAAGCAACGCAAAATCTTGTCATGATGATAATGTGGATTTGCACAAATACGTGGTGAAAAAATCGAAAAGAATCATGGAAAGGGAATTTAAAGAGTCTGAATTAAAAAGGAAGAATTTTTACGATTTTCCGCATTCATCCGACACGAAATTGATAAATAAAAACACAAAGCGGAGAGAAGCAATTCATAAACTAAGATCTAAAGTTTCTGATACCGACGCAGAAAGCGATGACTTTGATAAGAAGACACCTGTTAAAACTCAGCCAGAATATCGGGCAACGTCATCGCTTAAGAAACGCAAAAATGTTGAACCCTCATGCCAGCAGGAGAAACAATCCACAAGTAAATGGCTGTCTAAAAAACAGCCGGAGGAACTGATTCTTGCTAAAACAAAGCCACAGGAAAATGCCACCAAAAAAACTGTAAACAGCAGTTCTGTAAAAAATACAAACCGGATCGTTTATCCCACAACAGAGGAGATTGCTGAAAAAGAACACAGGGAAAAGGAGCAGATGAAAGCCAACAAAAAAATCAAATCCATTTTAGAAGATCTCATACAAGTGCCAAAAAAAGTAAAGATTTTGTAAGTACTTGTATTATATATATGTAAAATTATAGTCGAAATACAAAAATTTTTGTATTAAAGATCTCTTAACAATATGACCGCCGAGGAAATTTTAAACACTTTCCCAAAGTATAAGAGCCAAATCGATGGAATTTTTCACGAACTAAAATCAAAACCAAAAGTAACCGGATACAATGGAATAAACCATTATCTGGTTATTGAATTGATTGACAATGAAAAGCAACTACAGATGATGAACAAACTTGGAGAAGTATATGAAAAGGATCCCGACGGTTTATGCTTGGTAAGGAAAATCACCTAAGACGAAGAACAATATTTAAATTCAAAATATTTATCAACTTTTTTCTTAGAATCCTACACTCTTTGCAAATGCTCTGATGCCCGAATGGTTGGTGAATATTTTTAAGGATAAATACAAATTTTCATATAATGAAGCAGTATCCCATTTAAATGAGCAACGACAGTATATGCAGTATATGGATGTAGATCAACCTTATTACTAAGAAATGCTGGCATGTACCTTTTACACAAATTTTTGGACTCCATTTATTAGCCTTAAGTGAAAAAATAAACTTAACTTAACAGACTTAACATGAAACTTTTAGTAAATTGGTCAAATTGAACCGATAACAGAAAATATGTCGCATACTGTCCGGCATCTCATGCGTTTTGCTGCAAAATACTCTTCTGAATATCTTCTTCTATGCTTTTACCAGTCACTCACAAGTTGTATGGCTAAGTTTTCCAAGTTTGCGAACATAGCCATTAATATCCCACAACCAAAGCGGCGAATTCAGAAGTTCTTAATTCGCCTTGGGATCATATCAGTACAAACAATTGTTGAATCATAATGTTTTTTGTATATTAGTTTCATTTATTTTTATCACTTTTAGTTGATAGCATTTAGTGTTATATTAATAAAGACTTACCTTACTTAGAAACCGTGGCATAAAAAAAATAATGTAAATGCAGAAATATTAATAATCAGCAAAAGGTAAAATTTTATTGAAAGATAACGATGATCCAATGAAATTTTTCAAGTAAGAGTTGATAACAATAAGACCGATAGAGTAAATAATACTGCGAAGTTAATTAATTGTCCTTAACGTTGAAAAGGTAGCAGAAATAATAAGTCCACTTCCACAAAAGATATGCTTGTCGATTTTTCAACGAATCCAAGCTTAAGTGGTAGTAAATTAAAGAGACAACAGATGAGCGCTGATAACATCTCCAAAGGTAATATAGTTGTAATAAAAACAAAAGTTGTGTTAATAATTTTCTTTTATGGTTACTAGAAAATGGAACACACAATGCCTTTCACAAGATGCAAGAATGTCAAGAGACTCAAAAGAAAGTTACTGTGAAATATCCAGAGGAAAAACAGAAAGATACTAGTCAAGAGAATGATTGCCAGAAATTGAGACGTTCTTATCGCTCACCTGTAAAACCACGGCGTTTTGAACCCGAAGAGATTAAGATAGGCATAAAATGCAAAAAAAAATCCACGCAAAGAAGTCGAATTTTTCGTGAATGCTTTGGATCTGACACAGAAAGCGATGGTGTGAAAGATAATTCAGATAGGAACGTAAAATTTTCCCGTCAGGATAATTGCACGAAAGGTAAAAAGAAGAAAAGAGAATCCCAAAAACGGGAGAGTCCCGAAAAAATAGAAAATAGAAGAAAAAACACCCTTAGCTTGGAAAATCATTACACAAAATCAGAAACAAAATCACCATATCTCAAAAATGAGCGCAAAGGAAAGACATTCGTAGAATTAGAGCTACGCCGTTCTAATCGAACTCCAGTAAAACCTAGGCGTTTCGAACCGGATATTATTAAGTCTACACAAAAAATTGATAAAAGAAAAGTTGGCGATAAAGCTAAGCGAGACACTTTGGGTGCTGAAAAAAATTGTCAATCAGAAATAAACTCAAAGAAAGAAGTGCCCTTAAAGCTGGAAGAAAAAAAATGCAAGAGTAATATCAGCAAATATGTGTACCCGTCTTCTGAGGAAATAGCCGAAATGAAACGTAGGGAAAATGAACAAATGAGAACCAATAGAGAAATGAAAGAAATTTTAAAAGGTCTCATAAAAGTGCCTGAAAAAGTCAAGATATTGTAAGTAGATACGTTTGTTAATTTCTTTTAGTATAAGAGTAAAGTAAATTTAAATTCAATAGGCAACATAAAAACATTTTTACAAATGAAAAAAATATGTACATATACATACATACATACATGTTTTTTTTTATACAGATCACTCAATAGCATGACAGCAGATCAAATATTGGACACTTTTCCAAAGTATAAAGCCCAACTTGATGTGATTTTTCGTGAACTATGCTCAGAGCCTAAGGTGACTGGTTATAATGGAATTAACCACTTTTCTGTAATTGAGCTAATAGATGATGTAAAACAATTGAAAATGATGCACAAACTCGGGGAAATCTACGAAACTGACCATGACGGAGTATCTATGGTATGTAAAGAGCTTTTGGCGAATTGTGTGAATATTTTAATTGTTATTCTTTAGTATCCTATGCTGTTTGCCAATGCCTTGATGCCTGGATGGCTCGTGTATATTTTTAAGGACAAATACAATCTAACATTTAGCGAAGCTGTGACGCATTTAGATAAACAACGACAATACAAACAATATTTAAGTGTGGAGGATAATCTTTAGGAATTGTTAATTATCTTTTAAGTTATATTTAAGCAGATTTTAATTTAATTTTAATATATATATAAAAATATTGTATTTATATAACAAGTGCCGTTTTCATTAGATAAATTAATATGCTGTTTTTAGTTATTTTTTTTTTTACAAACTATCGCAATTTTTGATAAAATAAATCGTTTGCAAATTTCAGCGTGAAATATGTTTTTTATTCATGAAATTTTTTCTTTATAAATTACAAATATTTTTTTTTTAAATAACATTATTTAATCTTAAACTTCCGCTCTAAATCTTGCTATATGTATATCCATTTACCGCTTCCTAAACCTGCCGGACAGTGACAAAATAATCGGAATGGCGGAGGTAGCTTGTGTGTAATCTTGTCTTGTATGCGGTGATTTCTTTTTGATATCTTTTATTTTGATCACATTTATAAAAATAAAAATTATCAAAGTGTGATGAAGTAGGTATTTTGATGTTTACAAAATGGATTGAGCGGTCAAACTAAAAAATCAGTCTGCCATTCTTTGAATATATTTAAGATCTATACACTATAACTAAATTTCTCTAATTTAGAGCTCATCATGAACTTCATCGTCATCGTCTGCCGTGTTGCTAGCTTTTTCTGATGACTCTTCGATATCCTCTTCGCTGGCGGTGTCGTCAGCTGGCTCCTCATCCTCTTCATCCAATTCAACTTGTTCATCCAATGGCACGCCCAATGATTGTCTCATCATTTTTTCGATGGTGTCCGCAAAATCTGCTGTCTCCTGTAACATGAAACCAGAACGCAATGTTGCAGTTCGGAACATCATCACAGCCATATCCTTGGCCGTGCTGTCTGCTTCGTCAGCTTCAACACGACGCAAAAGTTCCCGAATGAGTGGATGACGTGGATTGATTTCTAATGTTTTCTTTTGATTCAAATAGTAACTACGTTGTGGATCATCTGACTTTTGGTGAGCGTTGGACAATGCCAAACGTTCCATATTTCCAGTCCAACCGAACATTCCTGCCACGAGTGCGCATGGCGAGTTGCTAAGGCGCTCTGAAACTTGGGCTCTCAAAATTTTGTCTTTAAGACCCACATCATTCAACCATTTTACTAGTGGTTCGAACGTGTTTTTCAGTTCCTCAAATCTGGATTTGCTCTTTTCTGATTCGTTAAGCTTAAAACCTTCCTTGGCCACGTTTTGGAATTTTTTGCCATCGAATTCAGGTAGTGCGGAAATGCAGTACTCATCGACAGCTTCTACTAGATATAAGACTTCATAGCCTTTGCTTAACAAGCGTTCTACGAATGGTGATTTCTCAACCTCAGCGCGGTTAGCACCAGCAATGAAGTAAATGTGTTCTTGTTTTGGCTTCATACGCTCAACATATTCAGCGAGTGACGTCACATCTTTACCATTGGACGATTGGAAACGCAATAATTTAGCAAGGCGAGAACGGTTACTTGGATCTTCCATGATACCGAGCTTAATGCTGCAAAATAAAAGCAATTCCTTTAGAATATACATACATATATATTTATATGCTGCTTGAAAATTGTAATAATTGGAATACAAATTTCATACCAATTCAACTTAATAAACGCTAGCTACTTACTTGGTTGAGTATTCCTTCCAGAACTTGCTATAGTTGTCCTTGTCAATCTTCTTGATCATATCCAGAACTTTGCGCACCAACTTCTTCTTGATAACCTTGATGAGTTTATGTTGTTGTAGCGTTTCCCGAGATACATTCAGTGGCAGATCATCGGAATCCACTACTCCCCGAATAAAGTTCAAGTAATTGGGCATCATATCATTGAATTCGTCAGTGATGAAAACACGACGTACATATAATTTGATATTATCTGCCTTGGTGCCGTAGCGATTGAAAGATTCGGATGGCTGCACTTTGGGAATGTATAGCAAACTTTTGAATGTCACTTCTCCTTCGGCAACAAAATGGGTGTGTGTTAAAGGCTCGGTGCTGTCCTTTGTAAGGGTCTTGTAGAATTCGGTGTATTCATCTTCGGTTACTTCGTTAGGTTTACGAGTCCAAATTGGTTTGCTGTCGTTAATTAATTGCCAATCCCAAATAGTTTTTGATACCTTCTTCGTCTTCGGTTTGACATCGTCTTCCGATTCTTCTTCTACCTTTGCTTCTTCATCGCTATCTTCTACATCATCCTCCGCGTTGGCAGGTTTTTCAGTTGTGTCCTCTTCTTCAATCGGTACTTCTTCCTCAACGGTTTTGCTTGACCACATTAAAATCGGGAAATTTATGAACTGTGAGTATTTGCGTATCAATTCACGCACAGTGTCTTCCTCCAGAAAATCTTGTGCTTCATCCTTTAGGTGCAATGAAATGATGGAACCACGTTTAATTGTATCGCCACGTGGATCTTCCACAATACTGAAACTATTAGCATCAGACTCCCAAATGTATTGTTTGTCGGCGTTATGCTTAGTGGTAACGACAACGCGATCTGCAACTAAGAACGCAGAGTAGAAACCAACACCAAATTGACCAATCATATCATTGAGGTCTTGACCGCTCTCAGCCTTAGTAGAATCTTGCATTTTTGCAAGGAAATCAGCCGTGCCGGATTTGGCGATTGTACCCAAATTGTTTATTAGATCCTGGTGAGTCATGCCGATACCGGAATCCATAATATGCAGAATTTTGTTCTCTTTATCGGCTTTTATTCGTATATTCAGTTCTGGATTGGTATCCAATTCGCCCTTGTTCGTAAGTGCCAAGAGACGAATCTTATCGATGGCATCAGATGCATTTGAAATCAATTCCCGCAAGAATATTTCCTTGTTGCGGTACAAAGAATTGATAATGAGCTTCATCATGCGGTTTACCTCCGTTTGGAATGTGAATTTCTCGGCCTAGGAAAAGTTTAAAATATAATCATGTGAATAGTCTAATCATTCAAATCATTCAATGTAAAATAAATATGGTTGGTAGTGCAAGCAGCATAAGCTAGCCCAACACGACAGTAACAAAGAAAACAGCTTTCCCTTATAACAAACCAGCAGACCCCGCCACACCCCGTTGGCGCTTTCTATATTTTGTAGAATTTGCATTCTTATTGATATTGCCAAGACTGACAAAAACTCCTTATCAAGCATGCTATAATACAAAATAATAAGTTGTTTTATTATATTCCTCGCTAATCAAAGCCCGTCACGTAATTTGCAATCGGATCTATGCTTGAACGTATAAGAATAGCTTGTAATCAGTAGCCGCAGAATAACTACATTGCACAGCGAAGATATCTATTAACACACGATCGTTGCTTGGCATAAAAAAATTTTGACCAAAAATTGGGGACAATTTTTTTAGTTAAAAAAGAAAGGGATTGATGATAACAAACTTAAATAAAAAAAAAAATTCGCTTAGAGGTGAAAAAATAGATGTTCTGTTATTCTCAGACCAACTGAATATATCATAAAATTTCACTAAAATCGGTCAAGCCGTTTGGGAGGAGTATCTTGTTTTTTATTATAATTATCTTATTAGCTTTTTATTAAGTATTAATTGTTGAGACCATTAATTTAAATAATAACAATCCTATCATCTAAGTTGGAACAAATAACATATATGTATATGCCAGCTTTCATGAATATAAGTTGACTCGTTTTTGAGTTATTTCACAACACACGCACGCACACGTGTTTTTATATATATAAAAAAATAATCATTTCGTACAAAGAAATATACATATAGCACAAAAATATTTAAAAAGTTTAATTATAGTTTTTATTTCTATAGGAGAACCATATTCATCTGGGTTTGACAAAATAACTCTAAAGCCCAATAATGAATTATATCAAAATAATTATCAACGACTTCCATATACATATTTCGAAGTCTGCAGATTTGTTCAAGGTGAAAGCAAATGAGATATTTTTGTACACCACTGAGATTCTACAACTCGAATATAACTGGAGAAAGGTTCTAAACTAATCCATATATTTGTACCAACTAAACAGTTAATGTGCTGTTAAATTACAAAGAGATTTTGAATCATACAAAACGGGGGCGGAACCTTTCCAGCGTACACATAGGTATATGAGAATGTTTTTAGGTTTAAGTAATTCTAATCATTCCGGTATATAGTGCCGATTGTCATCAGGACAAAATAATGCATACGTAGATAAATAGCATGAGTATTGTCTTTACTCTCACTTACCTTTTCGCGGATCTCTTTCATTTGTGCCACACTTAAGCCATCAAGCTTTATGGCTTCTTCTTCACGTTTAAGTGTTTCGGCATCTAAATAAAATATAACATTAATTATTATTAGAAACGTAATCAATGCTTTATCAAAAATTAGTTGACCAATCGGTCCAATAAGAATTTCGGAGCTATGACGTGTACTAAACACCGCAAGCCACATAATGCAGTGTGTGTATTGGAAAGATATTAGTAGAGTGGGAAAACACAATCAATATATATATGTACGTATGCAACTTACCAGTTCTGGAACCTTCTTTGAAGGAACCCAAGTCAAGATCAATGGATTCTACATCATCTTCTGCTGTTTCTTCAGCCACTATTTCATTTAAGCCTGAAAAAATAAAAATGTTTAAATAAATTGTAGAAATGCCTCATATGTACGTGTCTTTATTTGCAAAAGTTGACGTATTTTCCGTTGTACGCCGGTATACACAAAATTCACAAGAAACTAACCTGCTAAAAGAAGCAAACCCAAAAGTAAAAAGTACTTCATTTTTCCAAAGCACAATACCCAAGAAGGGAGCACTAAGTAAAATTCACTATATATCAATTGCGATAAGGGATTTCTTTCCAGAAATAACCTTCACTTGGAAAATAGCACGATGATTGAAAATACCGACTTGCCTGTTCAGTATGTAAATGCAAAATAAGACAAATTTAGCAACCGTAAAATACATTTAAGTACTCTTCATCAGACTTTTCTTATTGGGCGTAGGGATGATTGCAAGTGCATTTACTTTTACTACTATTTTTTTTAGTAGAAAACATAAGAGTAAAAATAATAGTTAACGAAGCTTAATTTGTTAGTACTTAGTAATATGGGTCGGCTTAAGATATTAAATCAAAAAAAGAGATTTTCGTAGTTTCATAAAATCACATTATTTAGAATATTTTACGAAAAAAATTACTCTTCTTTAAATCTGTAGAACTAATTTCAGACACACAACCCTGACATTTGAAAAGAGAGCGGCTACAAATGTCGTATTCTGATTGGTCCAAATCATGTAAATATTAGCACAGCTCAAAACCAATGAACAATTTCGATAACTATGAATCAACATACGGAGAACGTATATTGAATTATATTTCTCACATATCTCGCCAAATGGAAATATGTCTTATACCGTTATTATGCTACTGCATAAAATATGGTGCCGGCTCCGCTTAAGCTGGCTGTAATTTAAAGGTTTTACACATAAAGCAAAACTGAAATGAAAACTGCTTTTTAATTATTGTCTTAACCAGAGAACGTAGAATAATATGCGTACTCTTCTTTGAACTATATTTATGGCGACTTTTACTCTAGACATTGCTGCGCACATAATTTAGAGAATCAAAAATAAGCACGCGCCGAGATTTCATAGACTTTCCGTCGATCAAAACTCAGATTAAGGGTCTCTAAAAAAAATACCTGACTTTTCATCCAAACACTATATTGATTCAATGTGTGTAAGAAATAAATAAGACTGGGTTGCATACTTTTTTAATTCATATTGTTACGTTTTATTTCCATATTTCGTATTTATATGCATTGAATTGAATTAAATTAAATATTTATCAGTTACTAATAGCTAATTAGGGACGCCATCTACGGGTCCTTTGTCGTTTGTTGCATTAAATATTAATATTATTAAAGTTACACTTAAAGTTGTTCTTTTTTGTTTTGCTTTTTAAATTATTATTTTTTTCTTCTTTTAGTAGTTATTATTTTATTCTCGATCTAAGGATCGTATATTATATTTATTTTTTTTATTATGTTGCTTATGAAATATATGTATGTATCTAGTTATATTACATTTCTAGCGTATTCTCAATAAAGTTACTTTTAATTTTAAATACTCTACATACAAGTCCTTATCATAAATTAAAAAATAATAAATGTTTCAGTTAAGCTGGTTTCCTATAGTTGAAAATTTATACATCCTTGTTTTATTATTACGCATATATGTTTGTATATCATATTTATTATGTGGTATTATGTAATTACGATTCAAAATATTTTATTGCAACATTAGAATTTATTTAATTCGCTCTTTCTGTTCTTTTCTTTCTTTTTTTTTTTGAATTTACAAAATGCAAAATAATATAAAAAAGGCAGGAAGTAACTAAAAAATAAACGAATACACCTTCATCACTCTGGCGCATGCATATAACACATAAGAATTTATTTAGCTCGTTTGCGTAAACAATTATTTTTATTTTTTATTTTAAAGCTTTATCATTATTTTATTTAGATTTGTGTTTTTTCTTCTTTTCTTTTGGAGCGCACATGGATCGCACTCATGTAAATGGTGTCACTTGCATCTTCTATAATCGTATTGCATACAACTTGTTTCAAGTTAAATTAAGACTTTTTAGTGCACTGCGCCGCTCAGGTTAAATTTATCATGTATTATTATATAATTAATTATGATAGTAAAAGGATATATTTCAAAAAGCAAAAAAACGCATCGGCCCTAGTAGTTTATGCTTTTAATAGATATTATAAATTCTAAATGCTGTAGAAAATAGATTACATATTCATTTGCACAAAAATAATTACACAGACCACAATCGATCTTTTTAGTTTCTCTACATTTTTATGTAATATATTGGCCACATAAAGCAAGCATAAATGTGCATTAATAATATAACGAAAATACATATATATCTTTTTAGGCATTTATACTAAATCGAATAGAGAATTTCAAAAGGGATTTTAGAAACGATCATACAAAATTTTAGTTTAATTTAATTAGTTCTCCAATTATGTGTCTACACTAATTAATTAAATGATTTATTTTATGGAATTTTAGTGCACACTGCAAATTAAAAAAAAAAAAATAAATAAAATAAAATCAAACTAAGAAAATGTCTAAAGTAAATTACACACACTTATTCCAATTATATAGCGTTATTATGAGACACTAGTTACACAAATGCCTTTTTAATGATATTTGTATGTATTGTGAATACTACTAAATCGAAATATTTTTATTTATACTAAAATTAGAATGCATTCTACAAAATAGATTTTCTGCAGAAATTAAGAGTATACAACATATAATCGATTTTTCTCGTTCTTTTTTGTGTATTCAAAATAAAATTATATACAAAAATTCGTTTCGCTGTTTTTAATATAAAATAATGAATTAGTATTTAACTTAAAGGGTGTTTATATATAAATATACATACAATTGGATAATCTATTCTTGTTTATGTGTTTTCTTGGGTGACGACAGTTATTTATCCTACAATAGTTTCCTCCGTAACATGCTCATTATATTTCGATACAAATAATGTATTCATTAAAAAAAAAAAATCAAATTATTGCATGTGTATACTATATGCATTACATTTTCTTTACAAAATAATTTTGCTTTACAGTATCGAATTCTCATAAATTAATACGTTCGTTCCTTTCTCTGAACCAACATTCCACATGTTAAATCGTATTTTTTTTATTCCATACATTGTTTCATTTTGCTATTTTTTTTTTTTTTTTTTTTTAATGTATTCACATATAGATTTTTTCACTGCTATTGTTGCGACTATTTCAGTTTTACGTAAATACTACCTAATTTTTCTCGGCGTCGAATTTGTTTTGATAGTATTTTATTCCGATTTTTCCTTTCAATTTCACATTGGTAAGTAAATTCTAGAGGAGCAAGTTTTTTTTTTTTAAATTTATGAATATTAACTTAAATAGTAAAAATATTTTCATATACATATATCTAAGCATTTCTATATATGTACTTTCTAGTTTATATATTTATGTATATATAAAGAATATGAATGTATAATTTCATCAAATACATATACCATGTATTCAGCTAATTTCTCATCGATGAATTATTATTACTATTTGTAAGTGTAATTAGTTTTTTTGCATTGCGCGCGCGCCAAACATCAACACTCGAAGCAAGTGTACACTGTTGTTTGTTACGCCAATCAGCAAGTCAATGCACTTAGTTCTTCTGTAAAATCTGTATGCGAAGATCTGTTAGTTTTATTGTAATTTTACATATACATATTCTAATCTTTTGCTTTGATTTCTGGTAAATTAATATCGCTTAGTAATTGTAAATGTTGGCATTTGTATCGCGTTTTTTTTTCATACATTTTCTGTGTAATCTCTTTGCCGAATATTTTGCATCGATTCGTTTTAAGTCCAAATGCAACGTCAACAATGTAACGACCAGAGTAATTACTCAATGAGTAAAGAAATGAAAAAAGTTACATAATCTAAAATTGCTAAAACTAGATGAAGACGACCCGACCGACCAGACCTGACCTACACACTTATTAACTAGTATATAGTTATCGTTTATGTATGTATATATTAGTATGTACTTCAATTCTAAACAATAAAATATTATTTCGCGTTTCTCACGTCGTTTCCAACGCCCGGCTGCACACCACCACCTCCTCCACCAACACCTGGACGCATACGAATCGATGGGCGTCGTTCGGGCGTATCATAGGGGGGACGTGATGAATTTGTGGCCGCCATCGAGTCGTCCATATTCAGGCCACCACCATTACCACTGCCAACGACCATTTGGGAAGTACCACCGCCACCGACCATTGCACCGCTACTACTGACTAAAGTCTGGGCACCGCCACCGCCTGAATTCATGATTTGTGCACTACCTACGGCAGCGACACCGCCAGCTATTTGTTTTTGATTGTGTTGGTGTTGTTGCTGTTGTTGTTGTTGCGATGCAGATGCTTCTTGTCCTTGTTGGCATTCACCAGCACCGTCCTGTTGCTGCTGTATGGCTTGCGGATTGCGTGGTCCGCCAAATTTCAGCAAATTCCAGTCAAAAACATAGTCATAAGTAAAGCCAAGACGATGGAACAAATTACGGAAGAGTTTACGCAAATAACAATAATCCGGCCGTTGTTCGAAATGCATTTGACGGCAGAAATTCAAATAGTTTACAAATTCGCTGGGGAAACCTTTACACAGCGACAATATTGTCGTCGATAGTTTCTTCTCCGAGATTCGCTCGTACTTTTGTCGTTTATTGGCAGCTTTTAGGCCTTGCCACGGCAGTGCACCCAAATTGAAATACATCAGCACATAACCGAGCGATTCTAAATCATCACGTCGCGATTGTTCAATGCCCAAATGTGTATTGATTGATGCATATCGAGCTGTACCAGTAAGGTTTTTATTTTCCCGATATGGTATGTGTTTTAATGAGCGGGGATCGCGGAATTTTTTCGCCAGTCCAAAGTCAATTATATAAACAAGATTGCCCTTTTTGCCCAAACCCATGAGGAAGTTGTCTGGTTTTATATCTCGATGTATAAAATCCCGAGAATGTATATAATCTATGCGTGATATCATCTGATCGGCTAATAATAGTACAGTTTTTAGTGAGAAGCGACGAGAACAGAAATTGAATAGATCCTCCAATGACGGACCTAACAATTCCATTACCATCACATTATAATCGCCTTCCGATCCACACCAAATGATACGCGGTATACCAATGCCGCCCTGCATGGTTTTATAGAATTTCGACTCGATGTGCAATTGAGGATGTTTCGTGCGTATGCATTCCAATTTAATGGCAACTTCTTCGCCTGTGTTGATTGTAGTGCCAAGATAAATGTCGCCAAATGAACCTGAGCCGATTTTACGACCCAGGCGATATTTATTACCAACCCGCAATTCCATTGTTAGAAATCAATGATGGCCTCTAATATGTATGTATAATGTGGTCAATATTTTTAAGACGCTTTTTCCTTTGTTGCCGAAAAGTGAAGTTAGGTCTGCTTGGCTGTAAGTAAGAATTCAATTAATAATTATTAATTTGGCATTTACATGTTAAGTCAAGTAGTTAAACCTCTTTGCCGTGTAATTAAAGATGCCTTCAATAATATAAGTTACGGGGAGAAGCACGGAGCTAGGCTGCTTTTATCAATTGGATTGTTTGTGTAAACTGCAAGAGTAAGAAAATATCATATGCATATATATTTTTATTAATTGAACAAACTGAAATTTAGCTAGAAATATGTATAAATTTTAATTATTTCAAATAAAAGGATTTTTAATTCAATTGATAAATGAAATTGTCAAAAATTTTGGAATTTTTTGAAAATGTAACAAATAGAGGGTCGAATAAAATTTATAATTTTTTGTTAGCAATATTTAAGATACTTATTGTTGTTGCTACAGTTACATATGTGTATATATATGTAAAAAATATTAATAATTTTTTATACCTCAAATCTTTACAAAAACTGCAAGTAATCTGTATATTATATAATACATAACGCGAACCTTTCTCGGGAAGCAGAGGTTTGAATTACTTGCAATTCGGTTCATAGGTGGATGTTTGCTTAGATCAATAGGAAGACTAAGTTCTCATCGGAAAATGGACCAGGGACTGACCTTTTTGGAAAAATCGTATCTAAATTTTTTGCATGATATGCTGGAATACTTTTCCTTGAAATGTACCAGAGATCTAGAACCAAGTTCGATTTGCTCGAAATATAAATATTTTCTTTACGGGAAAGTGATCTTTGACAGATTGACAAAAATTAGAACGATTTGGATATATGTACATATGTAAGTATAGATCGTGCGTAGGTGTTTGGGCTCCAAGCAGTTCTTATACGATCCACTACAGTGTGAATAAACATACATATATCAGAATGTATTGGACATAAAAATACAAAAGCCACAGTGGTAGTCAAATTAATAGGAAGAAAATAACAACTTAACAAAAAAAAAAAAAATAATAATAATAAGCAAACAATAATAATAATAAGCAGTTATTAATATTCCCGTCCATTTTTGAATAAAAAATCTTTGGATATGAGGGAACAAATTCTTCAATGAAAACAAGCCAAGATTAACTTCTTCCTCTGCTTTGAATAAACAAAATAACGATAGAAACATGATATGCTCCCAGAAAGGCGACCAGTAAGTGAGAGAGCGTGCATATATTCACCTTAGCATTAAAATAACAATGGGAACGATAATTAGAAATATTTCCATGAAATTTGTAACTTAGCAATGACCCATGGTTATTAGACACTCAAAAAAGTCTCCATACACACGCGTGTCACTCAGTTGACTAGCGCCAGGGTTGTCAAAAACGAGAATATCTTGCGGCGTAAACAATATTGCCGATGGAAATTGAAAAGTTTTCGCGATGTACACATATAAATATATTACTCTTGCTTGTGGTTTTTTTTTTATCTTTTTATATTTCAGTAGCAAGAAACAGCTCCCTAGTATTGAAAATAAAAATAAAACCATCTAAATATACATGCAGCAAAAAGCACTGGACGTGAAGGGGGTTAAACAGACATTACATACATACAAATATAAGAAGTAAATTATAAAAAAAAAAACATGAAAACATGAAAATACACTACATGGAAACCTAGTGAGGTGATATGGAAAGTGCATACACACGATGTAAGTATGTATGAACATATGCACATACATAGCTGCTGTATTTAGTAAGCTAACAATTGACAGTGCGACACTACCGCGTAGCTCAGTGGTCAATGAAACGCGCGTGCGACGCACAAATAACGACGTTTCTGCATGGACAGTATATAATATATTATATATGCATACATGCATGCATATATAATATGTACGTGTATATATATGCATGTACTAACAATATGCATAAGAGGAGATAGGTCACATTCGCTGACAATTCCATCGATTGATAGTTAAAAACAAAAATAACAAACTTTGTACAAATAAAAATATATAGTTATTATGTATATATATATGCATAAATGCATGTACGATACAAAGAGTGTTAACATGGATTACTGTTAATGAGTGATTTGATGTTGAGTGGGGTGTTGGGAGATGATATCGATCATTTATTGACTATATTGTGATTCCTTTGATACAGATGCGGTATATTGACAGCAAACTATAATAAAATGTAATTAAAAATCGAAGAAGTTATATTGAGCGTTGCTATGTGATGTCCATATCACAAGAAAAAAACCAAGCGGTAAAATAAGAAGACGTGGTCTGATTGATAACCTATCTACTTTAAGCTGCGGTGACGTCAAATAAGAAGCGATTGTAGCTGAATTATTTATCAACATTTAACAGCATGCAGTTTCGGTCCTAAGGACACAGCCTCATGCAGAACAACCTATGCAAAATTTAACTCACAATGATATTAACTAGAAAAGTAGCTAAAAAAATTAATTAAATATCTTTTTGTGTATTCAAATAATTTTGAATTTAAATTTTTTCCATTGTATTTAAAGCTAACAAGTTTTCAATTTTTCAAGTTTGAGAACATTTTAGAAATAATTGAAAAACATTGAGAATTCTTAGATACTTTCTTTCTTTTAGTTCTGTCAGGTTACTTAATATATTGGTGCAGACTGAGATCACGTGATATTTCTTTCGCGAAAGTAAAAAAATTACAACAAAAAAAAGGAAAAAAATTACAAAAAATTAAAAATAATAATAAAAATTAAAAATAACAGTTTAAAGGAACGGTAAAGTTATAGCTGCCGTTTAGGTAATCAACACGTTTCCTAATCGGACTACTTTTCGCAGACATCCTTGTTCCATTTGTATCTAAATTTGAGATACCTTCAGCAAAAATTAATGGTTATACCATTAAACTTGAGGCTATTTAGTTTTAAAAATGCTTCGACACCATACTTCCGATTGAGCTGGACTGGACTACATTTGATGGTCCTAAAATTATATATTATATATATAATTGGCGCTTTGTAACCGCTGAAGTGATGTTCGGCCGAGCTCCTCCTCCAATTTGTGGTTTTCGTCTTGATGTTTTTTCAACAAATGGAGGGTCCGGTCCTACAGTATATACAAAGCCGCCTCCGAACGAATTATATTTTAAGCAAAAAAATATTGATTTTTGAAAAACAAAAATATAAAAAAAACATTAGAAACTGATTTATTTTGATGGTTTTTTAATATTTAATAAAGGTATAATAATTTGAAAATGAGATAAAATTTTTAAAACGTACAATCAAAGATGTCTTATTAAAATAAAAATAGAATAAATACATATGGGAGAAATGTGTGATGTGAGTGTAAAAAATTTCAATCGTAAAAAAGTTTTCTTTGAAACCTAAAAAAAAAAAGAAAATAAAAATAAAAAAAAAACCCTATTTAAGCTTTAATGTTAATAATTGCAGCGCATACACATGTATGTATGCATGTTGTATAAATCATAAACAAGTGTAAGTGTCAGCGGTTTTAACATAAATAAAGTTGAGTCACAAACCTACAAATCTACCTGAATGTATGTGTGGAATTACTACTTTATTTATGTAGATAATCAAATAAGAAACGCAGCCTTCGGCTTTGTGCTTTTCAGGAACTCCAGTAAATTTTACTTTAGGTGTCATCATATTCACTTATAGTGATCATAATTTTATATATATTTAATAATTTGTTCTGATGACTAAAAATCATTTTCGTAAAATTTTAAAGTTTATAATAATCTACCCTTAGAAAGAAATTTTTAGATATGTACATGTATGTATTTGCAAAGCAAAAATTAGTGTTAACAGGAACGCATGTATATACATATGTGTGTAAAGAAAATTCACAGAGTTGTTTTTGGCAACCACGCAACGTGTCCACAAATAGAAATGAATGCAAACACAAATTCTGAAAATTTAAGGTGAACAAGATTCATAAATATGTATGTAATTACAACAATAATATGTTCCAACATAATCAAGTACATAATGACAAAAAACAAAAATGTTTGAGAATGGATAAGCTCAAAAAACTTTTGCAGGTGAACGAAGAAATTCAAGAAGGGTTTCTAGACCGTTGTGTGTACATACTACCTACATATACATACGTATGTAAGAAAAAAATTCATACCAACAATATAAATAAATTAAAATCTCACCGTATTCTAAATATTTTGTAATTGCTGATGTCCTCGCTTCGTATGATGTTGATGATAGATGGAAATTTAATTATTTTGAACTTCCTTTTCTTTCTGTTGGTGTGGCTGATAACGTGGCAGTGTGTGGTATGGAGATCAGAATATCTTCTATGTAAGTATGTATGTATATGCGATGTTTAATGTGCGCTATTTAGCCGAATATTCAAAAATTAAGATTGTTGAGTTCGGCTCTGACTTGACTCCGCTCCGACAACTCTTAAAGAAAACCGTTCTCACTGGTATTATTTCCTTTTTATCTCTAGTATTTGAATAATCGGCTAATTAATATATTTGTTATATTCTTTTGGTTTGTTTTTATTTGATTACGTTATCGCTGTGACTCTGAAAATAAGTTGCTGAAAGAAGTAAAAAAAAAAAAACTAAGTACCAAAAATTGACAATTTAAAAGCATAAAAATAAATTTTAAATATTATCTGATTATCAAAAGTAAATAAAACAAATGCTTAATATACTTCATTTAAATTGCCCAGTTATGATATTTATATTACCCATGCACATTGGGATTGAGTAGTGTAATTTAAATAAATTTGCACTCCTGCAATTATTAGCGGAGGGCCAAAAATTGTATGTACGTGTATGTCTTAATTTTTCAACAATTTTGTTTTTTCTTAATAATATTTTCAATATAAACCGCAAATTGATTTTTATGTGTTTATATTGTTTTGTCACCATAATAATTTTAAATACATATGTACATATGTAACCCCAGTTACGGTTATTACATTATATATTATTTACAATATATTTTATTTACAATCATAAATATAATAAACAAAATTTATTTAAAAAAATTACGTAAAATAAATGTACTAATTTATCTAATTATAATGTCCTCTCTTTTATAATATTTTGTTGAACCAAACTTTTTGAGTAAAAAAAAAAAATATTTGAAAAGCATATGAGCACATAATAACTTGACAACAAAATGCGTCCAAACATTTAACGCACACACGCACATTGACTCTTAAACACATACATCCACGATGGGAAACAGCTGACGAAAACAGCTGGAAAGGGAAATCGGAAAGGAAAACACAGTCATGTAAGACTAACAAAAATGACAACAAGAATAAGAAACAAGAGACAATGAAAAATAAAATCCGAATCTGCAAACTGTAAAGCTTTTTAAAGAGAGTATATATTTTCATATATACAAAAAAAAAAAAAACAAAAAAAAAAGAATCAATATATGAATTTTCCCATGACGCGTTAAATAAAACCTTAATACATTTATTTACATTTTAATTGTTGTCGAATTTCCGTTTCCGTTTTTATTTCACGCTTACGGCAGTCAAACTAACGGTACAAATACATATCTATATGTAGTCAAATTTGGCATATATGTATAATTTAACATAACGAAAGCGAATTACATTAATAATAAAGCAATGCGTATGTAAGTAACGCTTTGTATACATAAATATGTATGTATGTATATTTACACACTATCCAAAAAAGTTATTAAGCGCACGATGTAATAACTATATTTTTCAGTACCAAAACTGGAACTAATCACAATTTTATCAACACATTTTCTAAATCGCAGATTGGCTTAACTCAACAACAGTAGGAAAAAAAGTTAGTATTAATGAAAATGCAATTTCATCACAGCATATTGTACAAGTTTGCTTATAGTCATCCGACATGTCAACAAACGAAACAACATTGAAGTGATTGCGTTCTGTTTTCTTGCATAAGGGTTGCGTATGACTGACAGTCGCAGATAGAACTAAGGTAAAAATAGAACGCATAAATATGTTCATACAAGTAATTTGGTAAAGCATTTGTCGAGTAATACCGACATATGTGAATCTCAAGAAAATAAAAAAAAAACTACTAGACACAAAAACAAGCACAGTTATTCAATACGTCACATACTTTCATTTTTTCTTTATTTTTTGTGGCGATTTCCATGTTGAAACTAAACACATGGAGCTGCGTTATACATTTCTACGGTTAATAAGATCGTCAAAGAAAATTAAATTACAAATTTTGTAAAATTGATAACATTTAGTTTTATAACCAAACAGCCATAAGTTTTTGAGATTTTGGTTTAAACAACAAAATAGATAAATAATCAGATATTCAACTTCTGCCACTTTTTTCTGGATTTCAGATGAGTCATCGAAATACTGGATTTCTCTTGAAAAACGGATTCTGTCATAAGCACCTTGATATTAAGCAAAAATGAAAACAAACATAATACAAAATAACTTCTCTCCGAGCTCATAGTAGGTATAAATCCACAACTAATATAATTCTTTTTAGTAATTGCATACAACTAATATAGAATTTTACATAAACTAATTAAACAAAAAGTGATGTCTACATCATCATATGTATGTAGCATGTTTGACTTAGGGAAAATGAAAACAATTTTCCACTAGCAAATTGTATTTGAAGCATTAAATAGTTGATTTTATTACAATTGGAAAAATATCAGATTTAGCAGAAAATTTATTATTTTGCCTTTGTTACTAGGATTCATTTGAATTAAGTGACAAGTTTCAAAATAAATTTATTTTAAATAGTTTTAATAGATATAAGAATGTGCATATGTATGTAAGTAGATATAAAGCATTTTATACACGAATAAATTTTAGAAATGTTAAAAAGCTACTGGAGAACAATCGAAAAGCAAATAAGTTTATTCGCTGTCAATGGCCTCGTGTCGAGGAGGACAACAAGATGTGGAAATTCAACCACAAAAGGAATGAACAGAGTAGATTGTAAATATAAATTTATATTGTTGGAAGTAGCACATAAAAAAGTGTACTGAATTCTAAAAAATAAAAAAATATTATATATATATATATATATAAATACTCAGGCGTAAATATGCAAGACTATAATATATTGCTCTCCTAAATTATAATTGAAACTTGTGGAGAACAAGATACATATTTTTAAAATAGAATTTCACTTACTTTTTGAGTTGTGTTGAGTTAAATATATGGCGTATAATAACAACTCCAGAAGTACACAGATGTGATTAAGACGCACCTGTCACCAAGGGCTGACACATACTCCGTTATCACCAGATATATGTACCTCAACCAGAAAATTTTTAAAGAAAAGAAAAATTAATTTCTTTTTTCACAATATGTGATAAAAAAATTTGGAGTTCAGCGAAGATTCACATATTTTATTTTTCGAAAATAGAATTGTAGGTAAGGTGTTGCGAGCGGATGGTACGATGACGACGATAATGGCACGCAACAACGGGTATCAGACACGTAGTTCACGGCGTATTTACTTAAAGCGGATATGTCCTAGAGACTTTTGCTTCCCGATACTGTGAACCGATTAATAATACGAATTTACCATAATACGACCGCTGTTAAAGGGAGCATAAATATCGTTTTATTTATTTTCCTTTGTTTGCATGCGTTAACCGTCGTAGATATCAATGGTGTCGGAGCGTCAAAACATTTTTATTTCATGCATGGTCCTAACTCTTCTTCAAAAACACCCTGCCAAGCACAATCCACACACGCTCACACCAGAATTCTTTTCGTATTCGATTTTTCAATAACTTTTCACTTTTTCAGTAAACGAGTCGGTACAAAAAGCATTTTTCTTTTAAAAATTGCACACACGTTCCCTTTGGCAAAATTTTCCTGATGTAAAATAATCACAAAAGTTTTTCGAAGTCGCCTCGTTGGAAGAATTTCGTCTGTCCATGTTCGTGTTTGGCAGCGCTGACAAAGGTTGAAAACACAGTAAATCGGTATAGCTATGCTGTTTTTACGCATTCGTTAAATGCTTTCTACACCTAATACCATCTCACTTCCACTCATTGAAAACTAACTCATATGAGGAGACTCGATGGCCTCATTCAAGAGTGACACTCGATTTTACTCAACTTCGAATTCTATTGTGAACTGGAAGACATACCGTTAACAATTGTTGGTGCAGCGAATTAAAATAAATGGCTATTTGGCAAAGAAATTTGGCGCTAACGATATTCTAAACAAAAAATTTTACTCAAAACAGTTAAATATTAGCAGTAATAAATCAGTTTAATTCATGCAACCCAACAATTGCAAGTAACGGTGGTTGTTTGTAATATATTTGGAATTTCACTTTATTTTCCTTTTACGTCGCCGTGGCCGCTCTTCAATCTAATTTTCGAAACCATTTTTTTTGCTACTTCGAATTTTCTCTTGTTCTTTTCGTTCACTTTTTCCCCAAAATTTGTCTGCTTAGAAACACATGCTAATTTCTAAGGTTACACAAACGAATGCACGATTTCCAACTATTCACACCTTTTCATTTCACACTTACTTTTTTATTATGGTCAATTAACTTTTTAGTTGTTAATTAATTTAGAAAACCACTCAACTTTAGTTTTTCAGAAAGACATCGCCATTTTGCCAGGCAATCGTATAAGTGTTGAACAACTGTGAAATAGTAGAAGAAATGTCAAAATAAAACGTCATTAAGTGGTTTGAAGCTCGACTAACAGGGTTGCAGGAATCTATAATTCTTCAAATTCAGATTTATTGATTTATTTTTTAATTTATGATTTTGATATCCTTCCATGTCTGATATGCGTGTTTTTTGTCTAATCGTGCCTGCTATAAATAAAATATATGTCATTCAGCAAAAACTCGAATACTCGACTTAACCTTAACTTGGGCAACTCAAGTTTCGAAGTACGTGTAGTAGCTATGCAGAGAACTTAAAATAACTATTATTCTAAATTCTCTGGCTAAGGTTCCAATACTAGTATAATCTGTGTATCTTGTATGCTTGTTTGTTGGGTTAAACTCAAGTTTCAATGGAAGCTACTGCAAACCTTTTTTCTGGCTTGATAGTCGCTGATGCTTCATATTTATCAAACAGCTGTTTAAGATAAAAAGTTATGCTGTGACTAGTAAATTCCTAGCGTTAGACCTAGGTTCAGGGTTTCATTTCTCCAAAATTAGGTAGTCTTCGACTGATTTTAATGTGGGCTTTTGTAAAATCTATCGGAGGATAGCATACTCCAATCAAATTAGAAAAAAAATAGGAACCAGATAAACCACAATCATGAGTGAAAACTTAAAAGCTCTCATCTCACTACCGGCACTTTAAAGAATTGTACTCTAAATTAATACATAATTTTGTCTTGAATGACCTGAATGAGATTGAATGGGACAACTTAATGTAACGGCAATTGTGCGCCATGTGCGCTGGCCTATCTCCTGGAAAAAATAATAAATTATTTTAAGTTAGATCAATTCACTGGCGAATACAAATTTTGGACAGAATGAGTTCGTAGCTTGAGTTCCCTTCAACATTTTACCTCTCATTTTCACTTCTTAGAGGTATAATTTAGGAAAACCTTTTTCTTAATTTCTAAGATAGCACACTCTACAAGTTGCTCACTAACGCCATCCTAATATATAGTGTGTAGATTTATGATCCTTTGTGCATAGGCAACCCCGAATAATGCAAACGTTGGATCTATGAAATTATTATAGTTCAGCGAATATTTAGGTCAAATTTTCCGAACGAATGGGAGCACTCCAGCTTATTAAATTATTCGATGCTTTACCCACCGGTGGAAGCAGAGGTAGAGCTAGACCTCCACTACGTTGTAAATACCTGAATCTGAATATACTTGGCGCCAAACTTCGAAAAAAAAAGAAATAAATTCCGCGCTGTTGTTAAGTCGGATGTAATCGTTGCATATTTACAATTTTTGTCTAATCGGGATTGTGGTTTAATAAAAACTCTACGTTTTCTCCCTTTCTTAAAAAAATATCAAAACACACAACGCAAATTGGAGGAGGAGTTCGGCCGAAAATCGCCCCAGCGGTAATAAAGCGCCAAATATTTAATTACATATGTATGTACATATGTAAGTAGTTTCCTTTATCTACTTTGATGATCTTATCCAACCACAGCTCTATTTCTAAAGTTACGTTTGAGAGCTGATATTTTTTCCTTTTGCGTAACATATTTACTTTGCTATAATTTTAATAAAACCTGCAAATTATGTTACTCCGTTAAGTAAATATGCACGTGTGAAAATATTGACATACTGACCGTGGTATGAAGTACAGTGTAAAATTTGCGTTATAAAAGCAAGCAAAATTCATAATGATACATTTATACTTAAGTTAGAAAAACATATATTGCATATTGAAAAAACAAAATATATTAAATGAAAAATTTATTCATATAAATATATTTCATATGTATAAAACCATTTCGTGGCTTCATGAGTACATTTTTGTATTTCTAGCTCTGTCAAACTCAACTGCCTTTATGTACTGAAAATGTTATGTGAAAGTCTGACCGAATACTCGTTTTTGCCTATTTAAAGAAGTTCTCTAGCGCTGGGACATTCTTACGACACATTATGGCATATTTAGCACTCGGACTTACAGCTACATCCAACAACTGAAGCCAGCTGACCATACACAACGTCGTGCATATGCCGATTGCGTGCTTGAACAACAAACAGTGGACTGAGATTTTTCGAGAAAAAATTTCTTTAACGACGAGGCGTTTTTCTCACTCGGAGGATAATGAAATAAACAAAATGGTCGCATTTTTGGTTCAAAAAACTATCCACTAACTGAAGAGAGGCCTTTATACCCAAAAAAAACTTACTGTCTGGTACACTCTTTGGTCCGGATGTGTCATGGGACTTTACTTCTTGGAAAACGATAAAAACTGTCACTATCAATTCGGAGCGTAATGGTCATATGATAACCGGTCTTTCTCAGCCTGTAATTGAAGAACGCGACTGGGACAATAAGTGATTTCAACAAGATGATACCGCATGACACACAATACAAGCGAATGTGTTTTTTTTATGAGAGAAATTCGCCGGTCGCGTAATCTCTCGTCGTGGCGATAAGGCTACAGAGATCGTGCGATTTGACACCATTGGACTTTTTGGTAAGTCTCTGCGAAAGGCCATGTTTATGGGAATAATTTTTTAACTCTTAAGCACTTGAAAAATAATAATAATTAGTCAAGTTATGGTTGAGATACCCACCCTCCGATATGAGCAAAAGTGGTCGAAAATTACCTCAAACGGGTTGATGCTTGCGAAAATTCACGTTGCGATCTTTTGAATGATGTCGTGTGTGTTTCACATACATATAATTCCAACAACTCAAACTTTATAATAAAAAAGCACGATTTCATGAATAAAATTATTTTAAATACGTTTATTTTTGAAATCACAAAACGTACGAAAGCACTTAAAATCTACTTCCTCCACCAAACATCCCTAAATAGCCCACTGTGCCATTACAGTCGCGCCCGTTTCCGTTTCACTATTTCCCTTTATTTGTATTTTAGTATTTTTTAATTTTATTTATTCATTATTTGCTTCTTGTATTTGTTATATTTTTATCATATCGTCCTATCGTCCCCTTATCCTCCCGTAAAGTATTTAAATAGCAAACAAAAGTACATATTTACTTGTAGTTGCACTCATGCTTGTATGTATGTATATGTACAGCTTGCAAAGCTTCGACCGATGTCACCCCTCTCGCAATGGTGTTTAAAATTCATTCAAGCGTTCTTATCAGCATAAAGGTGCAGAAGGTCCTCAATACTTTTTATATTATACTTGTGAGTATGTCTCAAGCGCAGTGTTTATATGTACGTATGTACATATGTATAAATGTACATGTGATTTTGTAAGTGTATAAAAATGTATAAAATCTCATTTTGAACCCTACAAATCATAGCGCCATATTAATTTTAATGTGACGCATTGATATGGTTTATAAATATATAAATATATGCATGTGTGCGCAGACCAAAAAGGAAAAGTTAAATTGTGGCGTCTATGTATACTTTTTATTATAATTTACAAATCTCTTTCTTCAATAATTCAACCAGTATGGATCATTGCACCTGAGATTTTCATCAAAGTCGGTGATTAATACAAAACGAACGACAGAATGTTTACTTGGTAAAGAGATCGTGGCCATTGGAAAGAAGAAGAAACTCACTGGTTTCATAAAATTATAGTTTTATACTTATTTCATGAAGATTTGTAGCTTATCTTTAGGTAGATCACATTCCAACTATTGGAGTAATTCTCCAAGCAAGGGTCGTATTTTAGATTGACACACTTTATCTGGTCTCCAACAAAATAGATTGATCGTAAACCAAACTCTGATTAAACACACAACATTCTGAGGTGTAGAGGTGCACTGTCTCAAAGAAGAGATAGGGTTGAGATATCTCAATTTTGATGACGACCCCTGCAAACGGTTTAAGGATCACGGTTGTTTTGCATGCATCTGGGCTGTCCGTTTCCTTGAGGTAGAAGGTGCCCTTTTCTTATCTTCTTTTCCGGCTGGCCTACATCCTCGTAAGGCTAAAGACTGACATCACCGCCATCGAAGATGTGCGAGGGATGGAAACAGTATGGAAAAGCAGGTACGATGCAGAGTGTTGCAGTGAAGTAATACAAATTCAGCCTAAACTACAACTTTCCGATCCATATCAAAGCATCTCGCGCGGCAGAGATACGTAGAATGGCTAGACACATTTGCAGGGGGAAAAAGGAAAGGAAAAGTAAGAAAATTGTATGAAACTACCAGATGATTATGAGAAATAGTTAATCTAGCGGCTTATGTCCATATTATTATAGAAGAAACACTTCGCCACATGATGCGTATCCACAATCGAAGGTGTTAGAAAATATCGCCTGAGGAACAACAAATTGGCAGAAGCCGATGGCTTACTTGCTGAGTTATTCAAATCTGGCGGTAAAGAGCATACCTCAGTTTCTTTGTCAAATCTGGTCGGATAACTGCCGATTGGAACCTGATTTAGTGGACCTCACAATCTGCGCAAATTATCGCAAGATAAGTCTGCTCCATATTGCATATATGTTCTAATCATATGGGTGAGTGTGAGAGATTAAAGACCACCTTGCATGAACTAATCGGATCGCATCAGTGTGGTTTAAGAACAAATTCGTTACTCACAACGTGCCAAATCTTGGAAAAGATTCCTGAGAAATGGATATACACTGGCCAGTTATTCGTTGATTCTAAAGCGGGCTTCGATAGCACAAAATAGAGCTGTCCCTGCGCCTCTATGTATGAATATGGTATCTTCTTCCTTACAGTGCAGAAGCGTAGACGTTGACAACGTCCGAGGAGTCGGGTTATGGAGTAATGGAGTGAAAGGTATTGTGGTAGATCTATGATTCTCTGTGAATGGGCGATGGCGAATACCGCAGGATGGACGAAAACATCCTAGCTCTGCATTACTCGCTTGTGGCAGCCCTGGTTTCCTCCTTAGTGTGAAAACCAGTCTACGTTACCTTCTGACCTAAACAGAGTTAGATCGCCAATGGTCTCAACCGCTGCCGGAACTGCGTGCGAACTGTCCTGGTAGCATTGGACCTGCCAAAAGCTTTTGACACGGT